TACACAAATCATGCTCAAAACAGATGACTTGAGGGAAAAAAAAATCCAGGTTAGATTATGGGTAAGTTGTGTTATGCTAGCCATTAGAATTTGGGCATCAGTTATTTGTCCTCACCTTATAAACACGCCATTTTGTTTCATTTCAACAACACTGCTGTGGCATTGCACTCAGAATCATTTCCATCACTCCAAAACTAATGTAAAGGCAAAGATGGGGTAATAACTTAGAAGAGAACTGTACCTGGTATAAAAACACCCATTAACTCCCTGCACTACAGCTAAGTGCTATCCTGAGCTTGTTTTCAGGGCACCAGGGATCAGCCCAAAATATCATGGCCACACAAGCCAAATCACTGTATAGCTATAAAAGGATTCTTCTGTAGCCCATTTGTTTAAAAATAGCATGGAGGTATCTGTGACCCAGCTGACCTTTAGGAGCACACCATATCATCACAATCACCTCACTTATAATTATGTCTGCTGAGACATCTGCCAGATGATACTGCTTCCCAAACGCTGTTCCTCCCTTCTCTGCGGGCAGATTTACCCACAACACCTGTGTCAGCCTCGGTGGAGCTGCATACAGCACTTGAATTTTGATCCTGAGAGGAGCACTCAGCAGGACTGTTCTACGGCAAGGAGCATCAGAAAGGATCATATGCTAAAATAAAAATCATTTAAAAAGGAACAAAAAATCACACGCACCCCCACCAAAAAAATTTAAAAAATAAAATAAAAAAAAAAGTTCCTGTGTCACAAGCATCAGAAAGGATCATATGCTAAAATAAAAATAATTTAAAAAGGAACAAAAAATCACACACACCCCCACAAAAAAAAAAAAGTTCCTGTGTCACGGTCTCAGTGTTTGGATGCCACAGAGCCCCATTGACTCTACGATGGTCCCACCACTCTGCTTTTGGCATTTGCCTCCCCTCATGTCCTGAGTCTTCCCGCATGTTCCACCTCAGAACCACTCATGGTGGCAGCAGGAGACAGATTTGGGGCACCCTGAACCCCACACAACCCCAGCCTGGGGTCACTGGGATTTCATCAGTGTCATTGGTGATCATCAGCATCATAGGTGAAGGGTCCAGAAGGTGAAGTCCCATGAGGAGCGGCCAAGGAAGCCGGGGTTGTTTTGGACAAGAGGCTCAGGAGTGATCTTATCCTTCTCTACAACTAGGCAAAAGGAGTTTGTAGCAGGTAGGGTTTGGCCTCTTCTGCCAGGCAATAGTGACAAGACAAGAGGATATAATCTTGAACTGCACCAGGGGAGGTTCAGGTTGAGTATTAGGAATAATTTCTCCACAGAAAGAGTGATTAAACACTGGATGGGCTGCCTAGGGAGGTGGTGGAGTCACTGTCCTAAAGACTTTTAATGAAAAACTGGACGTGGAATTCAGTTTCCTGGTCTAGCTGACATGGTGATGTTTAGCCACAGTTTGGACTTAATGTCCTCAGAGGGCTTCTCGAGCCTAAGTGATTCTGTGATTCCGAGACTGGAAGTGCATGCCCGTAAGCCACGGCGGCGGCTCCCCTGGCACACCGGGGCTCCTCTGGCACACACCGGGGCTCCCCTGGCACATACCAGGGCTCCTCTAGCACACTGCGGCTCCCCCGCCACACCGCGGGCCCGGCGGGTTTGCGGAGAGCCACGGCTCCCTCTGGCGGGCCGGCGCGACGGGACTACATCTCCCGGCGGGCATTGCGGCCGCCCGCCCGCAGGGCACGGCGGGACGGGCCCGGCGGTTCCGGCGCGCTGACCCGGCGGAGCTTTGCCGCGCTCCGGGGCAGCGGCGGCGGCGCCGCTCGCACGTGGAGCCGCTGCCATGGCGGCCGTGCGGGTGGAGGCGGTGCTGGCGGCCGCCGAGGAGCAGGAGGCGGAGAAGCGGCGGAGCATCACGGTGGAAAAGGAGCTGGAGCTGGAGTACGACCTGGGCAATTTGCTGGCCGTGGACCGCAACCCGCCTCCGGCGGCGGCGCTGCGCGGGGCCGGCCCGCGGCGGGAGGCGCTGCTGCGGGCGCTGGCCCGCGACAACACGCAGCTGCCGCCGGCGGCGCCGGGGGCCCGCTGGTGGCGCAGCTGCCCGAGCCCGCGTTCCGCCTGCCGCGGGAGAAGCCGCCGCCCAAGCCGCGGCCGCCGACGCGCTGGGAGCAGTTCGCACGGCTGAAGGGCATCCGCCGCAAGAAGAAAACCTCGCTGGTGTGGGACGAGCAGGCCAAGGAGTGGCGGCGGCGCTGGGGCTACCGGCGGGCGGGCGGAGACCCGTCCCGCGCCTGGCTGGCGGAGGTGCCGGCGGGCGCCGACCCCGAGGAGGACCAGTTCGCCCGGCTGCGGCGGGAGAAGCGGGAGCGGGTGGCGCGCAACGAGCTGAACCGGCTGCGCAACCTGGCCCGGGCGCACCGCGCCGGCAGCGCCGTGCCCGCCGCGCCCCTGCACCCCACCGGGCACCAGGACCGCGAGGAGCTGCGGCGGGCGGCCCGCGTGGCCCGCGTCTCCACCGCCTCGCTCGGCCGCTTCCAGCCGCGCCTGCCCAAGGAGTCGGCGGAGCCGCCCTCCCGCAGCGGCGGCAAGAAGCGCCGCTTCGAGCCGCTGCTGGGCAACCTGGCGGCCGAGCGCAGCCGGCAGCTGGAGCTGCTGCGGGACATGGGCAGCAAGAAGCCGGTGCTCGACATCACCCGCGCCGTCAACAAGCAGCTACGGCAGGAGGAGGCCGAGGCGGCCGCCGCCAACAAGGGCAAGAAGCAGTCGAAGCGGGGCAAGCGCGGCCGCCGGCAGCAGCGGCCGGGGCGCAGCGGCAAGAAGAGCGCAGCCCGGCGGCAGCCGCAGAAGCCTGCGGGCGGCGGCACCGGCGGGGCCAGGAGGAAGAAGGCGTGAGGGACGGTGTGCGGCACCGGCTGGGGATGCCCACCGAGGCGTGGGAAGGGACTGTCGCTGCCAGCCCCCTGCCCGGTGCTCTGTTTACACGCGTATCTGTCAATAAATGCGTTCTGACCTTTCTAAAACGTCCTGCGTTTGGCTCTTAGCTGGTAGACGGAGGAGGGCTGTGTTCTCCATCCAGGGGAAATTGGTCTCCTGTGAAGGGAGAAGGGTGCCCCCGTTCCCCCCAGGCTGGGGGTGTCACAGTGACTTTTTTCACAGGTAATGTTGCTTCACAGTTGCCCTGCAGCATCTCTGCCAGGACAAAAGCTGAGCAAAGCTGTTTTCAGGTAGCTGGGACTGGACCGCAGATGTGACCTGGGCTTTTGATGGAGGAGCAGCCGCAGGTGCAGGTAAAGGATGTGGCTGCTGCTCTCTGCCCTGGGCAAGTGGCCTGACGGTGGAGCTCTTGCTCTGTAAGTCAACTTCTGCCGCTCAGCTCTGTGCTGTTCAGGTTCAGTTACACAAGGAACATGGAAACTTACTGTAAGATTTATTGCAGCGCCTAAGAAATTGTACAGATTGTCTACAGCATTTTGTTGATGAAAAAAGGAAATCAAAGCTGCTGACCGGCCACTGAGTTCAGCAGAAAAATGTTTGTATTGTACAGGTTAAAACCTAACACCTTGGAGCTTGGAAGGCATTGATGGACTGACCGCTGCCCAGTCTCTGGGCCTTCCACAAGGTGTGTTCTTTGCCTCTCTAGTGCTTCTTGCCCGTGTACTGAGCCATCTGCAGCACTGCAGGTGCTTTGGACTTGTCAGTGGCAGGAATGGTCTTGTGGGCACAACCCTCTGTTATCAACCCTTCAGTGTAAGTATCAGGGCAAAGCAGGGGCAAATAACACGTGGATGGATGGAAAAGGTTGTTTCAGAGAGACATTCCAGACCTCTGATCTTCCAGGCAGTTCCATAGGGCACACTTGGTACATGCTCAGGCAGAGAGAAGGGCTCTTTTCCCATACAAATATACATCTGATGAGAATTCTGTGCTGCTCACAAGGCTGCTGGTCAATTTTCTCCACCAAAATCCCATGAAGTGTGTTCATCTCCAGCAGCAAAGTGGTCACCTGAGCAGAGGTGCAGGTGCTCCTGTGGTGTTGCCACTTTTTGGCTCTCACAGGTGGATAAAGGTTTTGCAGCTTCATGTAGGTGCCTGAGCAGGCCACTAACCTGCTTTCCCAGGCTCAGCACCTTGCAAAATCCTGAGTTTTAGGCCTATCTGATCTGCTTATAGAATCATTGAATGGTGTGGGTTGGAAGGGACCTTAAAGATCATCTAGTAAGACATACAGAGTATGCAGAGGCAAAATACTTACATCTGTTACATTAGAAAAATGATGCTTTTTTTGTCAGAATCCAATGTTTCCTTTGCTCAGTACTGGTGTACTACTGTGCTGGCAGCTAAGCGGCATAGCTTACAGCTTAAAAATTTGGTTATAAAATTTTGATCTGTCCTGCACTGTAATTTACTGTGATTTCACAGAATTGCAGAATTGTGATGGTTGGAAGGGACTTCTGGAGATCACCTTGTCCAAGGCCCCTGCCAAGGCAGGGTCACACAGAGCAGGTGACACAGGAACATGCCCAGGTGGGTTTTGAATGTCTCCAGAGGGAGAGACTCCACGAGCTCCCTGGGCAGCCTGTTCCACCCTCAGTGTGAAGAAATTCCTCATGCTGAGGTGCAGCTTCTTGTGTTTTAGTTTAGACCATTCCTCTAGTGTTTTAGTCTAGAACATTTCTCTTGTGTTTTAGTTTAGACCATTCCTCTTGTGTTTTAGTTTAGACCATTCCTCCTTGTCCTGTCACTGGGCACAACTGAGAGTCAGAAAAGTAGTTCCCTTAATTTCAGGACCATGGGGGTTTTTTTATTATTTTCACCTTGCAATTCCATTACTTCCAATATTTTTCTGTGACAAATACACGACACGCACTCAGTCCTAACGAGATTTTAGTCGCTCTTCACTGGCATTCTGTGCTGTTTTAGCGAACAGGTTTTGCTTGCCTTAAAACAGGCGTGAGTTTGAGACTGCCCCGTGCGAGTCCGAGTTTGGGACAGCCGTGTGCCGGGCGGCGGCGCTGTCCCGGGAGGAGGGGCCCGTTCCCGGCCCGTTCCCGGCCGTGCGCAGAGCCGGGCGATGGCGGCGGGGCGGGCGCGGGTGTCCCGCCTGCTGCGGCAGCTGCAGCGGGCAGCGTGAGTGCGGGCTCCCTCCCGGCTCCCTCGGGGATCCCTCGGGAATCCCTCCCGGCTCCCTCGGGGATCCCTCCCCTGGAAAGCTCCCCCCGTGCCCGCTCCCGCTGCACTCCGGCGGGCCCGGCTGCAGGCCCTTGCAAGGGGTGCTCACAGGACACTTTTAGGACGTAAAGCTTTAGTTTTCTGCTTTAGTTTTCCCCTTTTAACCGTACCTTTTTTTTTTAACGTTTTAACTAGTTGTCGGTGCCCGAGCCATGGCCACACTTATTCCCAAGGTAAGACTGAATTTGTTTCTCCAAAATAATTCTGCAGGAGGCCGTGGCCCTGCAGAGGGCTGTATGTATCCGTGCAGCCTGGGCAGAGGGTGCAGGTAACAGGTGGGAAGGAACAAGCTAAAGGAGAAGGTAAGCAGCCTGTTACTTTGCAGCTGTACAGTGGCAGTGGTTATTGTTAATTGCTCCCACATAAGCCACAGTTTCTGCCTCCTGTCCCCTCCCTCCCCATGCCGTGGGGCCAGCTGATCTGAACTTTGCTCTGGCTGTCATCACCCGAACCATCTCAACTTTAGGTCTGCTTTTGGATACACATCTGTTACATCAGAAGAGAAACAGGAAACTATGTGGATAAAAAGTAGCCTTTCACAAAGGTGTGTGTTGACCTGGGGAATAAAATCTCCATAGCTTTTTTATATAGTCAGTCCCAAGAAGGCAGCTCACTTAGGCCAGGATGGTGGACTGTGAGCAGGGGAGCTGCACTGACTTACCCAAGTCACCCTAGGAGGAGCTTCTGTTTGCATGGACTGTAGGGAGGCTAGGAGAATAACTATCTGTCAGTCTCCAGATCCACTAAACATTAGTGGCTTGGGCCATAATTTCAGTAATGTGTAACTCTAAGTAGCATGGTTTCACATGCTGAGAACAATTCTTAAAGAACTGACATTGTCATTTTACATATGGACAAAGCTATTTATATTTTCAGATACTTGTTTTGCCCAAGACCATCCATACAGCAAGACAATAGTGCAGCTGAGAAATAGAATTTCATTCTTTTGCTTGTCTGCTTGATGACTTACTCAGTCAATTTAAACTAAACTCTTCCTGAACTGAAGCCTGAGTTAAGAACCCTCTCTGAAAGTTTTAGGCAGCAATAGATTCTATAGCGTAGCAAGATGATATCAGTAAAGTAAATCTCTAAATAGTGGGAATTGACTGAACAGTGACTATAGCTGAAAAAAATCCCAAACTTCTTTATGTTTCTTGGCAGTGTTCAAGGAAATAGTACAATTTTTTAACTCAGCAAAATTCGCCCTGGAAGTTAAGTTTGGTTCAAGAATGTAACAGCAGGGTGTCTATTATACTATCAGAAAGCAAGAGAGTAAATGGTTTGGACATGTCCTTAGCCTGTCAAATTAATGACTGAAAGTACAGCAGACTCCAGCTCCAGGAGAGGTCAAACATGTACAGCCTGGCAAGAGGTGGCAATGAAAGAGCTGATAGCAGCTGGCCTGTGCTTGAATAGAAAGTACATAAAGGGTTTTAATACATCTATCTGTTACTGTCGTGGGTCAGTGCTTCAGTGCACCCCAGCGTGTCTGTGAGCCTCATTTTCGTGGCTTCACTCATTGGATCAGAATCCAAATTGCATGTTTTCCATTAATATAGCAGACGTATAGCATGACTCCAGCAGGAGGAGCAGAATGCTTTGCCTGGTGTTTTCTTGGAGAAGAATGGGCAATTTCGGTTGATGCAGTTTGCTTCACTCTATGGCAAAATCAGAATATGCCAGAAATTGAGTTTTGTGATAATTCATGCAAAAATGACATGGCAGAGAGAAGCCATGACTGAAATACTGTCCTTATAAATATCTTCTAATTAAAGTTAATAGAAACACACTGATTCTTATTTATTATTAGCAGTGCACATGGTAATTTTCTAGCACATAATTCAGTTTCACCTGCAAGTTCAGGACTAGGGAGAAGTAAAATTATGTGTAAACACCTGTTATGTATTGCTCATACATAAAGGTGTTCTCTATCCAGGTGCATAAAGAGGATGTCTCATGAATTTGTCTCAAACGTTGTTCTGAAGGTTATCATGTATCCCCTATAGCATTTCTAGCACCTCTCAGCTTGTATGTAGCAGCCTGAATGCTCTACATATATTCAGTTCACCTTTTTTATGTGCTGTTCTGGTCTTTGTAGACTGCAAACAGACTCTCATGCAACCTTCCTGCTAATTTATTCAGATTTTATAAAAAATACTTAATTCTTGAAAGAACTTGAAAAGCTCACTTGTTTTGTTGAATTATATGAGTCAGATCAAGTACTTGGATCATTTAATCTCATGAACAGCAAGGCATGAAATAGTAACTGTTATCCACACGAGCTGAGATGACCTGTGGAAATATGTTAGTGATTCTAAAAGCAAGGAATCTGTCAACTCTAGAGCTGAGAAACAGATTGAAATAACTTATTGTTTCCTAATTCTGCTGTTTTATTTCCATTCCAGTTCCTGAACAGCCCACTCTGGGGAATACAGACTATGCCTTTGAGGTAGATTTAATAATAAAATATGTTTCATTTAAAAGTCGTGCAAACAATACTTCTTGACAAATATGGCATTTAACAAATATTTACATTATATTTCACTTTGAATGAATAGGGCCAGATGCCATTTTTGTAGAGAAAAAGAAATGTTCTTTTTTATTTTTATAGATGGCCATTTCAAACATCCGCTATGGAGAAGGAGTTACCAGAGAGATTGGCATGGTAAGCTGCTATGGTGTAAGTCCATCACTGGTAAAAAGTGATTTTCTGAAGGACTGACAGTGCTATCAATCCACTTAATAAAGGAAAGCTTATATATGGTGTGGTCCACTGTATCAGTGCAAAAAGGTCAGAGCATGCTGTTGGCTGAAGAGCAGAAGCGTGGTGCATCAGTGGTGCTCTGGTACATGAAATGCAGCTCTGGGGAAAATTGGATTGTTGATACTTTGCTGCAAGAATGCAACAATATTTTTCTCTGACCGGGAATTTAATTCAGAAAGGTTTGAATCCTGCTGACTCACCGGGATTTTCTCAAGATCGCTTTTATCTTTCTGGAGCTCATTAACTCAATCAGAGACTTTCTGTTAAATTGGCTGGATATTCATTCAGCTCTCAGCTTGCCCTGTGTAAGTGTAGAATTTTTGTTTCAGCAGTGTGAGATGGTTCACCTGAGTACATTGTTCCAGTGTGCTTTTATCACTGTCTGTTTTCATTTATCATTTTTCTCCTTTTTGGCATTTCTAGCATCAATAGATCTCTTTTTTATTTGAAAATTTATGAAATAAGATTATGTCAGACAGTAAATGAAATTAGACAGAACCTGTCTTTAAACAGCACTAGAATAATTTATACATATTGTATAGCTATTGTGACAATTAGCAAAGGTTAGGATGTAGCATTATTTTTCCTTTTGCCACCTTTTGATTTTTCATCAATAAATAAATATCCAGTATTACATTTTCAATATTTTAATGCTGTGCTTTGGTAGACAGCTAAAGGAGACAATCTGTGAAAAGGCCTTTTTTATTCTCACAGAAACTTAGGGAAAAATATTTTTAAAATGTTTTATATTTTACTATAGTTTAAAGTGGTTCCATATGGTTCAACAACTTTAGTTTTCTTCTGTCTTAAGACTTCAACTATATAAATTTGGCAGCTTTAAATTTTATTCTGCTTTCTGTATTCTACATGTATGTGGTTAATGTTCTTTTTCTTCAGCTGATATGGTCTTAAAAATTTTGCAGTAACCAACTATTTTTAAGTCAGGGTTTTATTATTATCAAATGGTTCACTTGATTTGGATTAGTGTTTAAATAGTGAAGTGTATGATTTTATACCAGTTGTTTGGTTTTTTGATTCATTATCGTAGGACCTGCAGAATCTTGGTGCTAGAAGAGTTTGTTTGATGACAGATAAAAACCTCTCCAAACTCCCTCCTGTAAATGCAGTATTGAATTCCTTGGCAAAATCTGGTATAAACTTTCAAATATATGATAATGTCCGTGTGGAGCCAACAGACCAAAGGTACAATTTGCTTCTGACTTGCATTTCTCCAAGTAGTGCCTAGGCCTTTACAGGATTCCATATGGCTTTTTAAACACTTCCTTGTGGCCTGCATGCTACTGTTAATAGTTGGTTTCCCTGTGTACTGGTTTTATTCTGACTTAACTGGAAAATCTTTCTTGTGTCCTAAGTTTCCTGGATGCCATTCAATTTGCTAAAAAGGGAGAGTTTGATGCCTATGTTGCTGTTGGAGGTGGCTCTGTGATAGACACCTGCAAAGCTGCCAACCTGTACGCAGCCAGCCCTTCCTCAGAATTCCTGGATTATGTCAATGCTCCTATTGGGAAAGGGAAGCCGGTCACTGTGCCCCTCAAGCCACTCATTGCAGGTAAAGCAGGAGGAGAGTGTGTGGAGATTGGGGCCAGGGGAAGGTGAGTCATTCTACACTCTCTGATACTTCTATTGAAATCAGTTTGCTGTGGCTGTTTCAGCTTCCTTTGGGCTGGCTTCTCCTATAGTTGTATTCAGCAGTCATTTTGCTGTTTAATTCGGTGGAGGTAAAATCAGAGGTTTTATCCTTATTTTGTCTTGTTTAGCTCAGTTAGAACTCCTTTACTGAGAAAAGAGATCAAAGTAGCAGTTTCTCTTTGATCTGTTGGCTTTGGATCAGGGATACATTCAAGATTTCCTGGGCCCTGTAATTTTGGGTGGTGTTACTATTGTGGTTTTATTGTTTAAATTGCAGTATTATATATATTTTTATTATTTGTTGTTATCTCCATTCTTCCTTTTAAGTTCCTACAACATCTGGCACTGGAAGTGAAACCACTGGTGTTGCCATTTTTGACTTCAAAGAACTAAAAGTTAAAACCGGTGAGGTTTTGGTGCTTTGTTTTGGGGTTGTTTTGTTTATTTTGTGGAGGTTTCTGTGTGTTATTCAAGACAATCACTTTTCCCATGTCTTTGTTATTTCCCTGCCTTGAAAGGAAAGGATACTGCATGTCATTTCAGGTGTCATTTTGTTTGATTCAACAGCCTCAGGCAAATTTTAAAAGCTTAAAGGTTTCCTCCTTGAATTAAGTTTATATCATATTAACATAATGAAATACCTATGTAATGCAGTGGATTATAGTTTGAAGGCAAAACTAAACTTTGAAGGAAGGAAAGTTTGAAGGAAACTAAAATCTTTCAAGTCCTTAAATGGCAGAAAATGTTAATTGCAAAGGAAATTTCTACTTATATTCAGGGTCAACCAACTGTTCCTTATTTCCTCTGTATTTTTCTTTCTACTTTTAAGACTTCTGTTTCTTTGTTGTGTAATTGCAACCAAATGTTCCTTTTCCTGACTTTGGAAACCTCGGGCCTGGGATGCTGTGCAAGTGAGGGACACTGTCTTCCTTTGGCCTTTTCATCCCTGGCAAATAAAGATTAAGGCTAAAATGTCATCTTGAGCTTCATAGCTGTTTAAGGTTTGCTTCTAAACATGTGGATTTTATATGCCACACAGTCTTGGGACCCAGATGGGTGTGCTAAGAAGGTTTGACAATAGCTCAAGAATTTTCTAGTGTATACATCGTCAGTCTGTCTGTCTGTCAGTCTATCTCTCTCAGAGCTACATCTTTGCACCCTTAACCGAAATACAAGGACATGGTTATTACAGATGCTGAAGACAACCATTGGCAATAACAACTGATTGCAGGTACAAACCAGATTTGCCTTCTGACATTCCACAGAAGATACAAATCTAAGAATACTGCAGATGCCACAGACATCTTGCAAGGCTGCTCAGGGAGGGTTGCAAACAGAGAGAGAACATGGTCTGGTATAATCCACTTCAGGCAAAAGTCTCAAATCATATAACTCTTTTAGAGAGACTTCATCATCAGTCTTACATTCAAAAATACTCTCTACCCTCCCCTCTCTCTCTTTGCTTTCATGTTCATAGCTTCAAATATTTTTTCCCTCTTTAGTGTTGTGTTTTGAACATTAAGCTTATCTTGTTCTAATTTGTTGCAAAACATCTTTAGCTGACTTTCCTCCCTTTGCACATTGCAGGTATTGCTTCAAGAGCCATTAAGCCCACGTTAGGCATCATTGATCCTTTACACACACTGTCTATGCCTGAACGAATAGTGGCCAACAGTGGCTTTGATGTGCTTTGGTGAGTTTTCTGCATAGGCTGCTACTTGAATTTATTTAAATTTTGTATTTTTACTATGCTGATTGTAGAAAAAATTTATTTTGAGAGCACAAGAGGATGAACTTTTTTTCTCTTTTTGCTGTTCTTGTTAAGGTGGGCTCTGTCAGACTTTTCCTTAGTTTCACTGCCTCCCTCAGAATGTATGGAAACAAATCCTGCATTTGCAGAAATTTGAATGTTTTTGCAGTGCACTGGAGAAATTGTTTGCTTCCAGAATAGCTGTTGTCAGTAAAGAGAGTCCAGATGTCATTTTTTAAGGGATCATGAGATAGATGATTAATCACAGTTGTAACAGCACTTGTCATGAATCATAGACATAGAAGGAAATAGAGAATAAGAATATTCTAACAAAAGCCAGGATGTCTCAATAAAAATTCATAAAAGCTTGTGAGATACTAGCAGGTCTTCACCCAGCTATGGTCATCTGGGAACCAATCTCATAGTTGGCTTTTCACTTGGCACAAAATTTTATTCATCTTAAACCAACAGCTTAACAGCACAAAATGCATTGACATTTCTATTTGGAGAGCCAGGGCTTACTTTTCTTCTGGGTGCTATGTATTAAAGTAATAGATTTGTAATGAAACTGACATTTCTCAAGCGTGGTGAAGGACCCCAGCCTGCAATGTCTGTAATGGAAAAAAGGCATTTGTTCATCAATGAAAATAGTTTGTCTGTAGTTTTTTCATCTTAATGGAGCCATGTAGGCAGTTCCCTGTCTTTATGTGGTCAGATTCATGAGTGTCTGGGAGATGAGACTATTAGCAGTTCCACTTAGCATGTAATTTTTTCAAGGCCAGTACTTCTAAAAGAATAGTATGTGGTCAGATTCATGAGTGTCTGGGAGATGAGACTATTAGCAGTTCCACTTAGCTTAAATTCATGCATGTAATTTTTTCAGGGCCAGTACTTCTAAAAGAAAAGCACCCTATGAAGTTTCCAGTGCTAAAGTCTCTTATGGTTGCTGTCCTACAGAAAGGAAATGCATTCATTGCACATATACAGCTCTCTTCAGTGAAAAACACTGTAGGTGCTGGTGCACCCAACCAGGCTTTTAGCATGGTGTGAGCTGATAGAAGGAGACTGTGTTTAGATTTCCTTTGGTGTGTTTATTGGAGAGGAAGTGCTCTGGAGGTGCTGGCCCAGCATTCTTCCACTGTCTGTGAGATTGTATTTCTTGTTTCAGCAACCGCTGGACACCAGAAATAAAAAAGCACCTGCATTCAAAGGACAGCAGGGCAGTAAAAGGGAGCTCTCCCCCTTAAATAATTGATTTCTCCCTTTCTGCTAGCCATGCCCTGGAATCATACACGGCTCTCCCTTACCACCAGCGCGGTCCCTGCCCCTCCAATCCCCTGCACCGCCCGGCCTACCAAGGCAGCAACCCCGTCAGCGACGTCTGGGCTCTGCACGCTCTGCGCGTTGTGGCCAAGTACCTGAAAAGGTAACGCCCTCAGCAGCCACCCCTGCAGGCTGGTCAGGCCACAGTGCCCCAAAACGGGTGCCTGCAAGAATGTAAATTTTAGGCTACAGTGAGGCAAGCTGCAACATCAAGCTTTTGTTTTCTACCCTGGATTTTTCGTAAGTAAAGCAGAATATTTTTCAGATAAAATTCAAAATTTAAGACTAAATAGTTTGTCTTGAGGTGGTAGCTTTTTAATGCCTCTGTGAATCTATTCTTGAAGTCCTCAGTTAAAGGTGTTTCAAACTGTTCAGTTAATATGGGAGCAGAATTTACCTTTTCTTTTTTTTTCAAGAATCTCCTTTCACAGCATAAGGGGAATATGTAACAAATTGAATAAAATACTGCTGATGTTATTTCTGTGGCCTTCAGCACCAAATTAAGATAGTTGCCCATCCATCAAGAAGGTAATAACATACACTTATGAATGTGCAAAAGTATGCATTTATTGCAAACCTGCTCATTCTTAGAAGACCTTCAGTTTAGAATAGGTATTGACTTAGCTGGGAGTTGGTGTTGATCCTTGTCAATGAAGTTTTAATCTGTTTACAGCTTTTGCATGCCATGTGCACTTCTATTAAAGATCAATGTGGAGTTTTTTTGAAAAAATCTTTTCACAGTACCTAGTGAGTCAAAATAGTTGGTTTTTGTTCCTTTGGAATCTATTTATGGGAAGTTTTCTTCTTACTGTCAAACTACACAAGGATCCTGAGGCATAGGAAGGCAGGGAATCCTCTCTTCTTCCCACACAGGTGGTGGGGTCTAGAGCACCACCTAATGAGATGGTGAGAAAGCTGGAGTGATCCTGGAGCCACACACAGAATTACCAAAGATTCTAACTAGAATTTTTTAATTCATCGCTGAGTTGAATATGGATAAATTCACTCTATTTACTTGTTTTTTGGAAAAGTGAAAGGAAGCTTACCCTTCACTGAACCAATATGATCTACATAAGTCATCCAGATGCAGGATTGTTCTTTTACCAAAGCGTGACTTGATTTCACTTCCACCGTTTTAATCTCAGCTTATCTTTTAGATTTTTTTGTGTATCTGTCCATAAAGAAGCCCTCTCTCCCTTCTCCCTGCTGAATCACCAATCTGTTTGTGAATTCATTGGTACCATTTGCCTCCATGGTGCACAGAGCCATCAGAAACCCTGAGGACCGCGAAGCAAGAGCCAACATGCACCTTGCAAGTGCTTTTGCTGGTATTGGCTTTGGCAATGCTGGTGTTCATCTCTGGTGAGTACAGAGAAATAGTAACCCCATGTGAGGTCAGCTTACAGCTAGTGCTTTTTCCACATTGTCAAAGATGTTGCTGCTCTTGTTGCTGATTGTGGAGTAAGGGATTGTAGCCTGGCCTGTGATGCTGAAGGACCTGTGTGCTGTGACAAACTGATGGGCTCTTGTCATTCATGTGTATAAGGACTGCGTATTCTTGGGCTGTGATACTCAAAACCAGTCACATGAAAATTACAAAACACAGCCTTCTTTACCTTCCTTGGTAGTAAAAAAGTCAGTGGCATTCAAAATGTTAGATTCCATGCCAGCTGTTCCGCAGTGAGACAGCAATGATGTAATCTTGAGTTCTTCCTGAACTGATGCAATTATCTGTAAGTTTGTCTGTGGGATAGGCAATCAGCAGTCTGAAATGAGCTGTAATTAATATTGCAAGGCAATATAGTTTCATTTGGATGAAAATCTCAAAGAAGCAAAGCCTAAAAGTGAATTGTGTACAGAAGTTATTAGCAGTCATTCTCTTCAGAGACCTTCCTTTCATTCCCTTTCTTTGAGCAAGTCTACTTTTATAATTATATCTTAAAATTGAAGTTTCTTTTTCTCAGACAGTGTGAACACACAGGTATGCAGACTATGATATTTTTGGCCTATTTACATTACTTTAGGAACTGAATGGCTTTCAGTTCAGTCAGTGAAGTAACTTCACACTCACAAAGTAAGGGAGGTACTGTTTTTTACAGCTAGGTCTCTGAGGTGCAGAGGGATGAGGTTGTCTGTACCTAATATCTACATCATACCTGTCAATACCTTCTGAGTATCTGTACTGAAGAGACTTGCATACTGAAAACTGACCACAGAAGGGACTGAACACAAATTTTCCAAATACCGGGAGAGCTGCCCTAACCACTCTCTCTCTGCTCTCTGTTCCAGCCATGGAATGTCTTACCCTATTTCTGGTTTGGTGAAAACTTATAAACCAAAGGATTATAATGTGGATCACTCTTTAGTGGTAAAACTTGTTTATTTTTGGGTTTTTATTATACATTTCAAATATCTGTTATCTGTCATTAATGATCATTAAAGTCCATTGAAGTTAAAAGTACATGTCCTGTTGATATATTTCATTATTTTTCTCTTTTTTTTTTTTCTTTCCCCAGCCCCATGGCCTTTCTGTGGTGCTGACATCCCCAGCAGTGTTTGCTTTCACAGCACAGATACATCCTGAGAGGCATTTAGAAGCTGCAGAGATTCTAGGTAGGAGTCTCTGTGGGTACAGTTCTCATGTACAAATGGAATTCTTTCCAAACTGACATTTTGGGATTGAAAAAAACAATGTGCAAGCAATTGTCATTGGTTGTTGGGAGGGGTTTAAGTCTAGAAAACAAGATTCTGGAATTAGATGTCATGCAAATTAGATAGAATAATGCTGAATTTTGATATGGTGTGATTAGAGGTGGAGAAATCTGATTCTTGGCCAGAAAAGTGGACAGCTGAAATTAACTGAAAGTCTGTTGCAAATCAAACAAGAGCTGTGATTGGCACAACTCTTGGTGCTTTATGAAGAGTAGTTACCACAAAGTGAACCAGTACTCAGGGGCATTTGTTAGCTAAAAGGAAGTATTTTCCCTAACAAATTCCCTGCTGTGGCAGTGAATTAGAACAGTGATATTCTGAATCGCTCCTGCTCTTTTTCCGTGGCACACAGCTGTGGCTTTTGGTCTTTCTAATGTTTGTTAAGGTGTTGGAATTTCTCAGTGGCTGATGCCAAGGGAAAGCTTTTCCTGGAGTAGCTCTTCTGTGGACACATATGTAATGGCTAAAAAGAGATTAATGAACAAAATGTCCTTTTCTGCTTTTTAACAGAATAAAAGTGAATGCTGCAAGCTGACAGCTCATTTAAAAGTTATTTTGTCATACAGTGCCTTTTTGTGTGTGCAGCCCATCACCAAAGGGTGTCCTAAGAGGAAGGATAGCTCTTTATTATACCTCCAGCATGACTGTGTGTAATAAACTAGCTTCCAGTGATGCAGGCTCAGAGCTGTTAGCAGTCTAGCTGTGACAGCATGGCTCTGCTCTGAGCTAATTTATTTGTCTAAGGTCAGGGGTTTTGCCTGCACTAGGTTTTGTGTCGTGGCTACACTGCTGTTAATACCCATGCTGCCTAAGGAGCAGGCACAGCCACATGCACAGCAGTGCAGGGAGTGGAGAAAAAATGGTTAGGTCAACTCTTCTGGTATTTGGAAAATTTGTGTTCAGTCCCTTGTATGGTCAGCCTTCTGTATGCAAGTCACAGCAGTCCAGTCACATGTATGACTTGCTTGTGTAAGTAATCTCAAAGCTTGTGTAAGTAATCTCAAAGTGGGGGTCTCAAGAAGAATGGGATTTTAATCAAGACATTTTATAGTGTTTTATATATAGTAAAAATATTTTTATATATTATATTATTTTATATTTTCTATATATTTTTATTGTATTTTATAGAGGGTCAGAAAAACTACATTGGGTAAAAGTTCTGTTCATTTCATAACAGTCTGTGAGGTTGTTCAGGCTTCCTCTAACGTTTGCTGTCCTGCCTATGGTCAAAACCAAAACACAAACTTAGCTGGAGTCATATACTAAGCTAGTAAATATCTGTGTTCCTACAGCAATTACACACAACTAAAATTAGTTGAACAAAATGTGTCTGGATAACTGGTCAGCACAGCATATCAGAAATTTTCAACTCTGGCTTTTGATTTTAAAACAAGTGGCTGAAAAGCAGTTCCCTTAGGTTTTGTGCTATTTATTTCTGCCATAAATTCTGTCTGTAAAAGTTCTGTTAATTTTCTCAGTAGAAATTTTAACTACGTCATTGTGTGCCTTGCTGGAAAGGGATTCTGCTGAAAATGTGTCACGTGGAGTTGAATTTATTCATTCCCATCTGGGGTGTTTACTTCTGAGTCCACTCCAGAGCCCAACTGACTACAGTAGTTGATTCAAAACTGTCATGTTGCCAAATGCAATGACTAAGAAGGTATTTTATGACACGAAGCAGATTACTAAATAGTTATGTTGTGTGTATGTACAGCTGTGAATTTGGGTACAGCCAGAAAAGCTTAATACCTCCCTGGATGTATTCTTAAACTGTTGAAATAGGTGTGCATGTGGCCAGAGATTTTCTAGGTGCTATCAAAGACTGATTTGCTTTTAGGTTGAGCAAAAAGAAAGTAATAGAAAGAATAGTAATAATATAGCAATATTTTTAAACTGCCAATCACATTTACTGTCATATTTTATCCTGCTCCCTTTCCCTTTTACTTTACTATCTGAAGATAGTGGGTTTATGTCCTAGTTACCCCTCCACAGAAAAACCCAGGATAAACTCAGACTTCATGGCATAGCCCCAATAGCATAAGATTTTGTACAAGACTCTGTCATATCTTCTTTATAATTTTTTCCCAGACATTATTTGCTATATTACTGCCAGCCTTACTATCTGAATATCTGAGTTCTTCAAGTGAGCTTGTAGGTCTCCTGTTCACTTAACTCCCTTTGAATGTTACACTGAGCTGTGTGAGGATCACAGGAGATGTTTTTTCTGGAGCTATGTATTGCTCTTACTCATCTCTCAGTGTGGCACTTGGACCTAACATAGTTCTGCAGTAACATCATTGAGGTTACACAGAGAACCAATTTAGCTCAGGTTACTTTGAAAGAAATCATATGGAGGAACTTGGGTCTCCTGTCTGGACACACTTTCATTATTACTTTTAAGTCCTGAACATTCACTGAAGAAGGGAACATGAGCTATTCTGTAAGAAGTATTTGTAATATTTCCTTTTGTATTGGTGTTTTCATTACTGTTCAGTAGATGTTTCAAAGAGAGCAGTTCCTCCTCTTCAGTTCTACAGTATCCTACACAAGTCAGCACATATTCAAACAGCAATAAATTTAGAATTTACTCAACATGCTGAACACTGCCCTGCTGTCTCCTGCCTCTTTCAGCCCACATGCTGTAGTCCTCTCTGTGAATGTGTAATTGAACAGAACAGTCCTCTAGATGTCAGCAAACTCAAGGCCTTAAAACGAAGTTAGCATTTGGCACACTGTCCATACAAATAAATACCACTGATGTTCATGCATTAGCTTCTTTCCTCCCAGCAGTTAGTCAGACTCAAAAGTGCTTCTCCCTGTGAGCACAGAGGGAAAGGAAGTTAACCTCATGTGGCAGTTAGTCTTTTTGGCAGCAGTTAATGTGCTTCTGATCTTGTTTTATTTCACCTTTCACCAACCATTCCAGCTGTAAAATGAGGACTGATTCCTCTTTTTACTTCATGTTGCTTTTAGGGCAGTGGCTGTTATGTATGGATATGTATTCAGCTGATATTATGATTAAATTAAGTCCAGGACAGGCTTCCTCTGCTCTCTCCACCCTACAGTCAAGACATTATGTCTTATTTTAGGAGCTGACATCCGCACTGCCAGAATCAAAGATGCGGGGCTTATTTTGGCAGACACACTCCGGAAATTCCTGTTTGATCTGAATGTTGATGATGGCTTAGCTGCAATTGGTTATTCCAAAGCAGACATCCCTGCATTAGTCAAAGGCACTCTGCCTCAGGTAAGACAGAGAGCAAAACAGTTTTTCTTGTCAAATGAAATAGAACAGATTTTGGAAAAAAACCAGAAGTGTTTCTTTTCCAGCAAGTTTTATTTCTCTTCCTGCATGAAAACTATTTAAATGGAGAAAATTATGGATAGTCAACTGTATTTTGTTTCACTGCACAGCTTAGGTTTTTCTTTTCAGTGGGATGGAGTGCATGCTGCAGTTTTCACATGAATTCAGAAAAAAGGGCCAAGTGTTTGGTTTGGGTTTTTTTTAATGTTACAGTTTTTAAAAAGAGGATGTTTTTCATAGGCCTGTGATCTTTGCAGTAGATACTGCTTTTTCATAACTACCTCTCTTAATTATGAGTGCAGGTGGTCTATAGATAAAGCCTTAATACCAAGTGTTATCTGGTAAGAATGATCAAACTCACTTTGCATTAAACTTTCCATATTGAGAAGTTGCATTTTTCTTAGCAGATGGCTTTTTTGTTCCACTGACCCCCATCAGAATTTGAAATAAGGTCCCCTGGGATGATATAGATTAAACTTGTAATACCCTTTATTGTTTCAGTGCCCACAAAGACACTGCAAAAAGCAACACACCACTCCTAAAGCAAAATCCAGAGTCTTCCTTGTAAAAAGACAGTTTGATTCATATGCTATGGACCTAGTATTTGTTCCCACCAAGTTGGAAGGGAAATATATATTATGGAGAAAGTGAAAATTTTTTAGGCCAAAAGGTCATTCACTTTTTACAGCAGATCCTGTATAGTTCTTCTCATAAATCTCAGAACACCTTAGAACAGTTACATTAACAGTAAATATTAATATTCCTATTTTATACCTGAGAAAGTGACACAAAAGTGCAACTACTTAGGATCACACAAAACAGAGCAGTGGCAAGGCCAGGAAGAAAACTAAGGTCTCTGAGCACCCCTGAAGTAGGTTATGCATGTGCATTGTTATGGGGCAAATGGGGCATTTGGAGGGTTTGTTTTGATAAACATGTTTCTTTATACATATTTCTTGCATTCAAAACAAGCACTGAATGCAAGTTTTGCATAGCTGGGGAAGGATTCTTCACCAAAAGGTGTTGAAGGGTTTTTCTGTCTTCTTACGACATTGGTGATTCATTGTACTGTGTAAAATGAGATGACCTAATAATTTCTCAGCCCTTATTTTTTTGTATGAGATGTAACATGATGCAAATGTATCAGTGTTCCTTAACAATCTGTTAATAACCACGGGTTAATCCATACAGTTTATTTTTTGGTATAATTTTTTTGCTTTTCATCTTGCAGTAGGTTTGCTTTGTAATACAGCAATGGCCCATTCACATCAGGAAGCAATGTGGTGCAGTGGTGATAGCACCAAAAATTTTGCCAAGTATATTCCATGCCTTGAAGTGCAGGCTGCAGGGAAAAATGTAATCTGACCTTTGGGGTTTGGGGGGGAGCTCTGTTGGGACACACATCTATGCTTGAAGTTAAAACAGAATTTTATTTCCCTTCCTAAGTGAGGCTGTTGAAATGGACCTTGTTTACAGACAGCAGTTATTCTAGCAAAGAAGATGCTGTCTCAAAGTTCAAGGTGGCTGGGTGGTGGTGTGTGAGAGGAGATGGGGGCACTGAAAATGAGAGATTGTGGAAGGGCTGTTCTCTGTCCACCCAGCCCCTGCTGATGTCCTGGGGGCAGCTGCAGTGGGGCAGAGCCAGTGATGAGTCCGGAGCTGCTGGCTTTGGCACCAGACCAGAATGCACTGAGTGAGGCTGAGGGAGCCAGGGCCTCGCTGTCTGGGCACCAGCAAATATCAGCAAGCTTGTGCAGAGGTAGTGATGGTGCCTCTGTGTCGAGGCATGCGGGAGGAGCACCCGTTTGCAGCCTTCTGTCGACAGAGCTGGGAAATGCTCCAGTCTGCCAGGCTGTCAGGCTGGCTGTCTCCTGTCACCCGGTGTGATTTTACAGATAATCCAGACATCTCAGTGCACAGAGCTGCAAAACTGGCTTTGGCCCAGATGGTCCTAATATGATGAATTTATGAATACTTGAGCACTGTGTTGCTATATTTTGCATATTATGAGTCTGAAATAAACAACACACTACTGCCCTAGTGCTGTTTGAATTTGGTTTCAAAACTGCATAGAAGAATCTTAGTCTTCTCTCTTTGGCTGATCTCTGTGTGTAACAGCACTGGGGAGAGAGGTACCATTTGATTGCACTTATGCACCTGTGAATCTTCTGTAGGTAAAATTATGCACACAGAGCTGCACTTTTCAGACTCCTCACAAGCCATGCAAAGCCATGATTATGAGCTGTGAATACCTCACATTCTCACCTGACTTCTCACCACGCCAGACTACTGTTTCACGTTGATTTTGCAGTGTGGTGGCCTCTCTTGCTGTGTAACCACATCCAGCCTGCCACAGCAGCATCCCACAGGCTGGGGGAAGTGCACGGCTGCAGCCTTGTGCTGTGGCATCACCCTGGGCATGGGGTGTGCTCTGCTCCCAGGGGGCTCAGCTGAGCCTCCTGCCCAGGCAGGGCACTGGGGGAACCCCTTTCCCTGCATCTCACTCTGTGCCTCAGGCAAGGACCTCAGCAAATGATATCCACTGTCTCATATGTGAAAAAAGAGGAGAACTTTGAAGCTGGAGAGCAGCATCTTCCACAAGGGAGATGTTGAAACAGGTTGCAGCAGAAGAAACTCTCTCTTGCCAAAACACACCTCATCTAAAGATGTGTTCCTAGTGTGGGCCTGGACTCTGTCTTTGCAGATATCTCTAACTCTCCCTAGTATTTCAGTAAATGTTAAAATCATTGGTTGTTGAAAACATGAAAGTTCTAATCATAACCAGTATGAGCACACTGATGTTGGGCCCTTTCAGCTGAATTTTCCTGCAGTAACTGGGTACCTGCACTAATGCAGCTCCTCATCCTCAATAGCACAGGGCTTTTCTGAGTTGCAGCCCTTGCCTTTGTGCTTCTTTTGTCAAGCAGAGCACTAAAGCACATACCTGAGTTTCATTGCAGTCAGTGGGGCTTTAGCCCCTGAACATTCTGCTGAATCAGTGTCCAAATGAAGACCAGCCACAATTCCTTTGTATTCCAACTCTGAGGTGTGGGGCAGTTTCATACTGTCCCTTTCTCTCTCTTTTTTGGAGTCTGACTTACAGGTGCTGTTTATTCTCCCCATTTACAGCAGCTCCTAGGCCTTGAGAGATATAGTACTTTGAAAGTCTTGGTCCCTAAAACTCTAACTCCTAGTTCAGTGCTGGCAAATTAATTTTAAAATGGACTATATTCTCAGGATAATGTCCTCCAGTGTACTGACATCTGCAATGGAGAAGGCCCATGTTTGCTGTGCTTGACTCTGAAACTGAACAGCATTCTGATCTTGCTTCAGTGTATTTAATTACAGGGAATCTTAGCTTATATATTCTTGAAAGTATTGTACAGTTGATGATGCTTCAACTTTAATTACTTGATTACTTATTTTGCAAAACTTTGTTATTCTCTGTGAAAGATGTTAGTACAGAGACACATAGTTCACCTACTGTTTGATTAATTTTATTGGCATCCATTTATAATCCATTATAATTTTCTTTCATCTTGCAGGAGAGAGTGACTAAACTATCACCACGTCCCCAAACAGAAGAAGACTTATCTGCTCTCTTCGAGGCTTCCATGAAACTTTATTAGCTTAAACATGTTCTGGAAAGTGTGGTCTATTCTAACACAGAGGTAGTTTCTCATAGATACGGGACTGAACTTGTTTAGAGCATGGAAAAATTTGGGTAACTTTGACTTCTGTTCCATTGTACACTGCCAAAAGGTCACATAATTCATCTTTAACTAAACACTGCTTTGAAGTGAGGGCTTGACTGTGGTTTCTTTCTTGCTCAGTTGTCAGTGACATTGACTTGCATAAAAGTTGGAGCAGATTTCTTGCATTACTGAAGGCTTTTTTGTGCTTCAGAGGTGGTCAAAGGTGGAAAAATGTTCTAAGGGATGTTTCAAGCCATTTTGCAAATTATGCTTCTATTTAAATTATCCATATTTTGTTTTAAAAAGGCATGCTAGTTAAGAAATAATGAAGGTCATTTTTAATTAGGGAGGGGAAGTGCCCTGCAGAAAATGTCAGCTTACTGTATTCTGTTCTGCTTTATCATCTTTTTACCATCTGGCTTTGCTAAGAAGGTTGTTGAACTGGGGTGCTTTTTCATTGTTTGATTAAGAAAAATCTGTACACTTCATAGCTGTTTGGAAAAGACTGCTTGGAAATTTGGTTTGGGTTAAAATTCTGACAGATATTGTCATGTATTTATCTTTCCTCTTATAATCTCTATAATTTATCTTTCCTTTTATGCTCTATATGGGGTGTTAATCAGAGGAGTAAAACCAGAGTAGAGCATGGTCACACACTCAACAGAAACCACATCACAGTAAGACAACATCCATCATGGTCATTCTGTCTGGCTGGAGGCAACATCCCCCCTTTCCTGCTGTGTTCTGTGGAAAGAAGCTCTCAACTGTATCTTGCTTTGCTGTGAATCAATTGCTTCTGCTGAGCTCCTGCAGGTGTTGTCCCTCAGAGTGCAGCCACCAGCCTGAGGAAGTGGCTGTGTGCTGTGGTTCAATATTAAAAAGAGGTGGTGAAGCATTTGGCTGCACAGTGCCCCAGGGGGAGCACTGGTTAGATGTGGGAATGAGCGTGCACCTTCCGAGCAGTTAACCAGCTGGTTGGCTGTCAACTGAGAAAGGGAAGTGGGGAAGGGAGAAAGGAAACTAACATTTTAATATTATTTTAATATTATTTTCCTTTATTTAAAAGGTCCACGTGGTTGTGTATACAATTTGTTTAAATCAGATTCTGCTTCACATTGGACTCTTTCAGCATCTGATTCATGCTGCTACCACAGCACAAGACAAATGAGAGAAGAGCCCTGTGACTTCTGGTGTGCATATTTCTTTCTGCTGGGGAGGGAGCACTTTTCAGTCACCCTGCTGAAGTAGAAGGCTCTATGTTTGTATTTGTGTGATCAAAGTAGTGCTGTCCTAGCATCTGAGGACAGATGTGTACTGGATATTGGCACTGGATTTCAGGGCTGTTAAACAGCTGGGTGGATACTGGTTGAAGACAGATTGTTTTCAGTATCAGAACAGGTTTGGTGGCCATAGGACTGCATTGCTACTGTGTGATGCACATGTGATCTCCGTGTCCTTCTGAACCTTCCCCTCTGCTGAAACTGCCCACAAGTACCTCTGTCATGAAGGCTGATGTTGCAATGGCAAGGGATTCACTTCATTATATTGTGCAAAGCTGACATGTTTAAAAAAAAAAGAAAAAAAAAAAGTTTGTCAAAACTTTTTGTCCAACCCTGTTGTCCACAGTCAGGCTGGATGAGGCTCTGAACCCAGTCTAGTGAAAGATGCTCCTGCCCGTGGCAGGGAGATTAGAACTAGATCTTTAAGATCCCTTCCAGCCCAAACCATTCTATGGTTCTGTATAAACTTTTGGCCTGTTGTGTCTTTCCACTCCTGTCTTTCTTCAGTCTGTGGTACAGTACAGATTCATGAAGAGACAATCTTTTTGTCCAGGAACCTAATTCATGGCAGTCCTGCTGTGTTTGGGGGGAATATACTGTCTGGAAAACTGAGCAGCATGTGATCTCATCACTGCAGCAGAGCACTCTGATGGGCTGCTTAGGGAGGTAGGATAACTTCTTCCAGCACACTTTTTATCTGCCTTTTATGTCAATATTGCAGGCTCCATTTTCAACTGACAGAACCTCACACTTAGGTTCCTATACCAGGTAACCTGCAGTTCCTGATGGTTTATAAAATAAACCTCATGCCCTCTTTGATACCCATCGTTTACAGATGAGACAAAGAGATTTATGTAATACCTAACCTAACATGAGCAGATGGTGCTGTAAGAAGGGACATTTCTGTTTTCCTCACCTCTTTGGCTGCATCAAGAGGTCTTCAACTGCCTTAAATTGGTTGTGAAATCCCTCCCACAGACATCAGTTACATGTGAAAATCTCTCTCATGGACATCAGTCTCCACCACCAATTATTAGTTACTAGTAGGGATTTTCTGTGGAAAAATCAAGAGAGCCCAAGTTGCCCCAGAATGCTGTCATTCAAATAGTGATGATGTGACAGGGTGTCACATCCTGGCTCCTGGGCAGTGGTAGTTTTATTCACAGCTGAAGAGCTACATGGGGTTTTTCATGTGTTATCTCACTAATTACTCTGTACTGGTATTTCTGTGGGGACCTGGGGTAACACTGTAATTGTGAGTGCCCAGTGGTGGTTGGGCATGTGTGTGAAATCTGGGAGGCTCGTTCTTGTGGCTCCTGTTGCTGCAGTGTTACTCAAACCCTCTGTGATGGAGCTGTTAGTTTAGATTGTGCTGAAATGCAAATAACAAAAATAAAGCTTGTTTGAGAGCAGCATTTAACTCTGTATTCTCTGAGCTGTGTGCAGGTAAATACAGCCCAAAGCCTGGCCCATGAGATCATTCACTTAGTCCATTCACATTGATTAGATTAGCTTTGGAAAGCAAGTATGAACAAGTGCCTGTGTAGTGCTGGTGAAAATAGTTTACCAGCAGGTGTAGTTTTATCTGGAGTACCAAATGAAAAATTCCCTCACTTCACAAGGTAGAGCCTGCAGGATTGCTGCCTGGGATTTGTAGATATGAGAGCAGCTGGTACAGTAGTTTGTCCATCCCCTCATTTGCCTTGCCTCTTTCCATAGCAGTGCTGATTTTCTCAGCAATTAAAAAGAGAATAAAGCAAAAAATATGTACTTAACATGCCTAAATCTTCAAAAACTCTCACCATCATCCTGTGTGAATAAACTTGATGTAACTACATGTAGGTTAGGCTGTATGATCATTCCTGTTGCACTGTCTTGTGCCGTGGCTGTCATCTTCTGTCTTGTGGTTGGCTTTCCATCTCCCTGAGACCTTAAAAAAATGGATGAGAAAGAGCAATGGTCAAAGTACACAGCCAAGCTCTGTCTAGGCCCTTTCCTTAACCCCTGATTAAATCTGCTTAGGCATCACTGTGCTCCAGGACACGTGCAGTGTGCCTGGGATTCAACAGCTCCAACCAAATAAATCCATCACTGCATTAAACATCTCTGTGCAGAGGACCTAAAGGTAAGGTCTCCATTTTTCCTCAAACCATCCTTGTGTGCTTCCTAAATAAAAATGAACTTGATTTAAATCCAAGCACCAGCTAGTGAATGCAGAAAGTGATGCCACCATTTTCCTGATGCCTCCAGCAGCCATGGCTCACATAGCGCTGCACAAGCTGCTTGTCTGCTGCAGTGTCAGCCCTGAGCAGTGAGGAGAGGGTCTTCCACACCTGCTATCTCTGCTAAACCTGCCTGGAGATCTGAGTTAATCTTTGACATACCACCTGACCTCCTGTAGAAGGAGATTCCTCTGAACAGTGGTGTTGTGAGACTGTCAGTGACCAAATGTGCAGAGGTCTCAGCTCTCTTTGCACATGCCTTTTTCAGTCTTTCTGTTTACCTGCAGTGTACTTATGAGAAATCACACAGGGCAGTGGGTCAAAAAATGCTTAGTGCATAATTTTGAAATGTAGTGGTCCATGAGAATAAGCAGAAGCTTCTACTTTTTGCTCTGAAATTTCTCAAAGAAAGTGAGACCAAAGAAAAGCTCCACACCTGGGTTATCATCAGGAAGGCTACAGTTCCCTTAGATGCAATATTTCTGAAGTTTTATACTTTGGCAGATCTAATCTTCCATTAACCCACTAAAATGCCATTCAGTTTCTTTTTTTCCCCATAGTACTGAAAGAGCTGCCACAAGTGTAGAAAATGTTGTCCAGCCAAAAAAAAAAAGAGGAAGAACCATTTGACACAGCTCAATATAGTGTTCATCAGTTTCTTAACTGCTTTCCTAGTAATAGGGAGGAGGGTGAAAAAAATACTTTCAGACTTCGGTTTCTATTGAAAAATTACATGTACCCCATTTTCAGAGAACTCTTAAGTACAACAAATAGCAGCAGATATTTTCCTTATTTCTCTGAACATGGGAAATAAAGGGGGAAATTAATTTACATCCATGTAGTGGCATAGTTAAGTGAAGGCAGAGGAAATGAGACTTGTATCCTCTGGAGATAATTCACGTGTTAATTTGTGTCACCCTGCAGAGCCACACAGATTGATTCCTGAGCCACAAACACTGGCAGCACGTTCACCACCAAAGTCAACTGAGCAGCAAAGGAGTATTGGGTGTGCTGACACTGTAGTCCGAGCTCCCATTAAATGTTTAATGTAATCGAATATAATTTTATCATGAAATACATATCTCATAACCCAAAATGGTTTATTGATGGGGAACCTTTCCTATGTGTTCCCCCTAACTTGTAGTGACTTTGACCTACTTTAGCAGTGCACTTGTGCTTTTTCTGGGTGTTTGACCATACAGCTTAAATTAGCAAGTTGACATTGAAATGCTGATTTACACCTGCAGTCAAATGGATAACACATGTTAAAGACTGATTGTCAGCAGCTCCAATACGTTATGGCTTCATTCTCTGGCATTGTTTCTTCCTTTTATGGGATTTAAGGACAACATTGTGTGGCATTGTTGTTATGGCTATGGACACAGCTGTGGGGGGCTGACACTGTGTATGGTCCTTGTCATTTATCTAAAAGCTGACATCACTTTCAGAAAATGACTGTGAAAGTTTGGATGTTTAAGTGTTGCTGTATGTTTTAAGACAGCATTGGGAATAAAAAAGCCTTTTTGCTGACATTAAAAAAAACCCAACCAGTTAACATTGAATAGCTTGTTCTTCTGACCCTTTCACCTTAAGGAAGATTAATGGTGGTTTAGATCAGAACATCCCCCCTGATCAGGGTCTGAATGCTTCAGGGATTCAGGCAGACAAAGAAAGTCATTTCACCCCTAGGTCACCAGCACAGACCTGTGGTGTCTCACTAGTGACCACTGGATGATTGCTCAGTAGTTTATGTGCAAGAGTTGGTGGTCATAATCCATTTTCCAATGGACAGGTTCCTGCCTCGTGAAAGCTGTCACTGAGTGCCTATCCAAGCAGCAAAAAATGGGAATTAACATGAACAGCCTGCATTACATTTGCCTTGCACTACTAAAAATCTCAGAGCCTCTGTGTTTCAGTGGATCAGGCTCACTCCAGGAAGGGTTGAAGCTGTGCTGGTGCTGTTCTGTGAGTGGTGGCACCTCCGTGTTCCCTTCTGGAGGGATGCAGCCTCTGGAGCACACAGGTCTCATTCAGGCACACTCACAGTGTCACTACCTGCATTTAGGACATCCTGGAATGTCATGTCCCACAGCTTTCTTGTAGTCACATCCCAGGTTTACTTCTTGGTGTGGTCAAGCTGGTGTACTTCATACCTACTGCACTTGTATTTCAAATGGAAGACCTAAAGTTAGGACTCAGTAAAACTGAGCAGAGAGCTGGAGGGCAGGTTCTGATTGTAAAGTAACTCTCTGTGACTTCTCATGTCAGAAATTATAATGTCACCAACCAGAAAGCCCAGTTCAAGGGCCTACCCAGCAGAGCTGAGCTGAAAATGCCAAGGTGCCCAACAAAGGCAGCAGGGGGTTGGCTGACAGGCACTAAAGGTCTGAGTGTGTCCTTCAGCAGGGACATCAGCATGCACACAGCAAGCCAGGCTTTGGGAAAAACTGGCAGACATGAGTACAGTTGTTCACAGCTGAGATGTTAAGCCTGAGTATATAATGTTGTTACACACGACAGAGAGAAAAAATAGAGTGCTAGGGTGTAAGAGTCTAGGAGTTGAGAGGATCAGACTTCAGGGGGACATATGAGAATATGCATTTAAAAATATTGTAAAAACCTGAAGGATGAGGAAACTAGACGTACATTGTTATTAGGTTTCATGTCCAGATCAAGGCCCACAAAGGCTCTTTCCTGTTCCCTTTCGGTTTCTTTTTTCTCCCAGGATTAGCTCTGTACAGTACTTTCCTAGTAGTGGACAGAGCAAATGAAAAGATTACAGGTGAAACTGAAGTAATAAAGGGAAGTGCTTAAGTGTAAAGGCTAACAGGATAAAGGAGAAGGACATGTAAAGACGAGTTCTGCGAAAATCAGAGATCTGAGGCTGCTGCGTGACTTTAAAAGTACTGACCTCTATGTAGCTTATAAGCTTGAAAATCCTCTCCTATGTATTTGCAGCATTAATTCCTCTTGTTATCTGAGGTGATCTACTTTAATCAGATTCCTACAAACAAGTCAAGTGCTTACAGCAGAAGATCTTTGACACCCCTACTGGCAGCGTCAGTGGACAGGACAAAGACCAAACCAGCAGGGAGATCAGATAAATCGCCTCATCTCAGCAAAAACTGTTTTAGGATAATTGGCATCAGAGTTCCCCCCTCTCCAGGCTCTTACCTGTATGCTCTATGGTCATTTGATGTACTGGTTGCACAAAAGCAACCTCAAAATAATCACATTTCAAAGGCACAGGAATTCTGAAGCCTCCTCTGTCGCAGTGCCAACTCCTGTGCTACCTTGCTTCTTCACTCAGATAACTTGAATCTGGATCAAAAGGGGACTCATAAATTTGATCTGCTTTTGAGCCTTTAGTGCAGCTTCTACTGCCTGTTTTCTAAGTTGCTAGTCCCACAGTCTCTAGCCCAAATAACGATGGTCCTTGTTTTAAATTTAATCTCATTTTCACACAGAGCTTAAGCAGAGGGGGCAATGCCATCTGATACCCTCCAAAGACCTTTCATCCCCACTGGAGCACATGTATTGCCTGTGGCAAAAGGAGCTTGATGGCTGTGTGAGGACACACAAGATACGTAAGGTGACAGTTCAGGTTGCCTTACTCTTTAGACTTATCCACTGGAGAAATCCTAATTATTTTGTGCCTGGTTACCCAAGAGTAGATTTTATTGCATAGGGTGCAAGACTCAGGATGCAGTTGCAGCAAGAGGGCTACCACTGCCTAAATCCAGGAACCACAGGACAAGCTTTGATTAATGTGCTTTTTTGCCCAAAACTGGCTATGTTTCTAGCAGGAGCCAATAACTGAGATAATCTTAAAAAATTTAAAGGAAAAAATTGGGAGTGAAAAAAACCAATCCAAAAATCATTGTGGCTTATCAAGGGAATAAAGACCTCACTCATCAATTAGCTTGAAAAATTAGTAAATCCAGGACAAATGTAGTTTAAGATTAGCATCTTAATGAACTATTGTTGTCACAGCCTGGTTTGGACATATCGCTCCTTTGTTGACATTTTTAATGCTTTCTGTGGATTACCAGTACATGACCAGTATATGAAAGCTTGTTAAGCCTCCACGTGCTCAACCTGGCCCTAGCTTTAATACTGGCTTAGTGCAATCCCTGCTGTTGGCACAAGCTCTGTGGGACTGGAGCCTTGTGGTGCTGAGCATTGTGTTTCTACCTAATCATCATATGGACCTACTCAAGTGTGTTTTACAAGCTTAGGGCAAATTTGTGACTGCCCAATTATCTATATGTAACTTTTTTATAAGAGAAGCCAACCAGGTTGGGGGCTTTGCCCCCTTTCTTTGTCTTTCACTTCTTTTTTTTCAGAATTCTGCAATATCTTTCTGTAACTAGTGGGGGGATGCTTTCAGCCTGGCTTCCAGGTCTGGCTGGTATTTCCTTTCCCGATTAGCAGAGAAGCCTGTGCACTCATCTTTTCAAACTGCAGAGCTCTTGCATCTCTCTCCTGGTTCCCTGTAAAGAATTTAAAGTTCAAAATGTTTTTTGAATGCCTCAATTTTATTCCCATTAAGGAAAAATCTGTTACAGCAGCTTCTAGACAGCTGCAAATTGACATGTAACTTTTGAAAATTCACCTTTAAGCCATGCAGTGCTACTTCAATTTTGAGCTAGTTTTGCTATCTGCTACAAGTGTGAGGTGAAGTTACTGATAGTGTATCTGTCTCTCTATTCCTTTCATTCAGAGAAAAACAACAGATTGTTATGAGAATTTCACTGTATAGTTTGTTTTTTTGGTTAGTTTTCCTTTTCAGTTTTTTGCAGTTGTAATTCTGTGGCCCTAAACCGAAACAAAGCGATTTTCCTTCCACAAAAAAAAAAAAAGGCTGCTAGCATTGCATCATGTAGAAGTGGTTTAGAGTAGATGCCTGCAGTATGCATGTGCAGTTTTATCCCATCTTATTTTTAAATGGTTATCTGTGCATCCCTCTTGTTCAGAATCCTATTCCAAAAATACCTGGGGTTTATCCTTATCATATTGCCCAGCTAACAGTAAGAAATAGGCTCAAGTGGCTCAGTACAGAGTAGATTTACCTCTTATGCAACAAGGTACAAGATCCAGGGAGAAGCCAGAGACCTGCCTTGGGAAGAGCTTTGTCCTCTGTGGGCCAGGGAATCCCTTGGCAATACCCCTTGCACATGTTGAGAGTATCAGGTTGCTTCCCTGCAACTTCACTGGTAGAAATCTGCACTGAAAAGGGATTCCTTTGTTCACAGAGGCCAGGATAAATAAGGTCTAGAGGTTTCTGATCTTAAATAACTCAATGTTTTAATTACAGTTTTTTGTAACCATATTTTTAAAATTTTATTCCTTTCAAGTTTACCAGCTCTGGCATGCTTGGTAAACAGAACAGCCATATTTTTAAAATTTTATTCCTTTCAAGTTTACCAGCTCTGGCAGGAGCAAGGACAAGCATCTACATTTGTTTCTTTGAAATATGTCCTAACAGATTCAGGCTTTGGAAAAAGCACCCTTGCCACCTCCTCAGAGGGACATCTCACCAGTTTATTGGATTTTTCTGCCATTTTTACAAGGTTTTATGAGACTTCTGCTATTTTGAAGTTTGTTATTTTTTTCCTTCCAGCCTCAGCAAGCATTTTTTCTTTTCCGCCTTTCCCTCCTTTCTACTCCCATTCCCAAGAATCAAACACTTTCCCTGTCCCAGACCTGCAGATAAGGTTAGATGTGTCTTTTGTCAGACAGCATGTGTCTGTTCTTGTGTCTGGAGTTCTCATCCTCCTTCTCCTCCTCCTTCTCAGTTGTCCCCATTCACCTTTGGTTCCCTTGTTCTGGCACCAGGAAATGTTTTGATCCTTTACAATCAACACCGAGAGTGGGTATTTGGAAAACTGCTGTATCACAGCCCACAGGGAAGAATTTGGATTCAAGGGGTTCACTTGGGAGTCTTAGGTCAAAGATACACCCCGGGGCAAAAACTTATTAGGGTCTTCTCATGGCTGCATGAGAAGCAGTGAGCACCATGTGGAACCATGTGAATGAAGTTAATAGCTTATTCCTCACTTTAGCAGAGAAGAAAAAAATTGAGCCTGGTCTCCAGACATTTTATGTAGTTTGGGGAACAAAAAAAAAAAAGATTAATAGACTCAAAAACTGTTTTGTTTTCTCCTCCCACCACAGAGTGGACTCTTGCTAGGTGAGTAGGGAGCTGGCAGGAGATACCATGTGAGATTGTTCTGATGTGGGTCTGCAGTTTCTAGGCTAGATATTGTGGAGAGTTTCTCCTCCAAGTCTAAAATTACTGCCTACACTTCTTTATCAGGTAGCATGCACTAGAGCTTTTGCACTACACTTCCTGCAGATATAATTACGCCTATTTCATAGCTAAACCCAACATTGGACATTTGCCCAAAATATCTCCCAGAGAGGTAGAAAAAAGTAGCCCAATATGTGCAGGTCTTCTCTTGAAGCCACATTAAGATTTCATGCAAAACCTCAAGCACTCATAGTGCTCAACTACTCTGCAGGATCTGGACAAAATAAAGAAGCAAACTCCTTTTCATGGGCAGGGGAGAATTCATTCCCAGATGAGAATCCCAGATGAGGCATATTGTATCTGTCCTCCTGAGCCCTATTTTTCTATCTGAAAGTGATGTGAATGCTTCTCATCAGCTCTCTGTACAGTATATTTGTCCCCAGAACATCCTGTGCCTTGTAAAGGTGTGTCCAAAGCCTACCTGCCTCGTAATGCAGTGAATGCCAGCTGGTGACCAGCTCTAGAGATTCACTTCAGTCTTACATCCCATCAGCCCTCAAAGGATGAAGAATCCAATTCTTGTTCTAATGTTAAACCCCATCTGTGATTTGAAAATATCTGTAGGTCATACCTAGAATCTGGAAAACAATGAGTTAGGTCCAAAAGTGCCCCTCTTCTCATAGGACTCTGAATATCTGAAGGTGAAATAAAGGGTGGGTTAGATTTGTTATAGCTTTTTTTTTTTTTTTAATGGACTATTCAGTGTTGGTCTTCATTATTTTTTTTTATCCTTTTGAAAGCTTTTAGAGCCTCCTGCATAACCGCCTCTGCCCCATTCAGTGCTGAATGGACGGTGCGCTGATCTTTTTCTCGGTGGGTAATGGATTTGGGTTGATTGCTTGACACAGGGACAATAGGGGGGTAAACAATTGCCTTGCACCCGTGCAGCTCCCCATCTGTTGAGTGCGTGCGCCTTCAGAGGCAGCCGGGCAGGGACAGATGAATGCGCCAGCCGAGCCTGATGTTAATGACATCAGTCATACAAGCAGAACATGTGGCGCAATAAATCAAAAACTAATTGAACTTTTGGTTGATTATATTGCCGTCCCACTGCCTGCTCCAAGCACGGCACGGTTTCCTGGGACAATGCCCCCAGCCCTGCAAAGGCTTTGCTGTCCCTGGACAGCAGGAGCCTGCCCTGGGAGGTGACAAGTGACAACAGCTTCCCTTTGCTCGCTGCTTTCTTGAAACAGCGACACCTTCCACTCAACCAAAATGCTTCCAGGCTCAGGATGTCTATTTGGCCAATATTTATTTTCTCAAATAAGAAACGTTCATCAATACGACAGTGACGGCCCATGTTCACCAGCACTTTCCATCTGGGACTGTTGGTGGCAGACAGCTATAGGAGAAGACAGCGCTTGTTTTTGTGCTAATTAGACACACACGTGGTAGTAATGAAGGCTATTCATTAGACTGATATAATTTAATATCATTATTCACACTTGAAAGTGCTCCAACTACATCAGTTGTTGGAGCCTGCAAGCCAAAATTTTCTGTCTTGGGTGTCCATGGCAGCATTAAGTCACCAGAAGTTGAGTGGGCTGATATTCATAGAGGTGGAAAGGAACAATTTCTGATGGGAGTATTAAGAAATTAAAAGCTTTGGCAAGAAGACCCTTTATTGAAATGCGTAAATATGGGATTAGACCCCAGAGCCATCAAGTCAGGAACCCATCCATGACTGAGCCACCTTTCCTCCCCTTGCAACCACAGACGTGTAGGAGGCATGGAGATCTATGCACATCTGCCTTTCTTAGGCATCTGCTTTTGAAATTTTACTTTGAAAAACACAGGATTCCTGTATTTGTTTATGAAATGAAAAGGTAAAGCACAAAATGTTTTTTTTAATATACTAGAGTGATCTCCTCATTATATGTAAGGAGCAAATTTTACGGTAAATATGTTAAAGTACACATTTAACCCAACTTATTTCAAATATCTTTGCAATACCTCTGAAACATTTACCAATAGATTAGACTTTAATTATTAGCTATTTATTGCAGAGGATTCTCCACACTGGTAAAAGCAAATGTAAAATAACATGCTCCTATCTGAGTAGAGGCTTAAGCAAGAGCTAAATTAAATCTTTGTGTTAATATTATTCATAGAAAGGCAGATGGGAGCAGAAAATGTTGCAATGAAGAATATGGAATGAGATGAGATCACAGCATCAGTCTGTCCTTTGTAGATCTGGACAATGATCACAGAGCCAGATTGGATTAGTGAAACCTATTTACCAGAAGTTCAGAGCGGTTGCATGAAGCTGAAAGGCAGTCAGTAGGGAGAGGTGGAAAATGCACCAGATTTACAGCTGCAGCGATGAAAATTTAGAAGTTTTCACTGTGATTTCTTCCAAATGTGAGTACATCAAAATCTAACAACAGCTATAGTGTTGTCTTTTAGAGGGATGGGATGTTTAGCAGCAGGGAAATATTTGCAGAGAGCAGCTCATCTGTTCTGCTGTGCCGTGCTCTGCCTGCAGCCCAGCCCTCGCTGCTGCTTTCTCGACCTAATCCATGCAGGTGCTTCAATATTGTGGCTCTGTAAAATCTTTACTCTGGCAAAACTGGGAGATTTGGAATCGGTGTTGCTATACCTATGAGGTAACTGCTAAAGTGACAGCTTGCAACTGTGTGGCTTTTCTGTGTAATAGAAAAGAGAATGAAGTTCTGCGAGCAGTTAGAAGTGGGTGAAGTGCATGAATGTTGAATTTAAGTCTGCTGGCTCAATAAGTGGAACATTTCCAAAGCCATGCCCTGGAAATGAATGCATGATTAACATTAATTGCTTCTAATGAAGAGTAAGAGCCGGACAAAGCGCAGCCTGCATTTGATTGAACAAATTAGTTTAAACTCAATGGCTGCATATTTCAGCAACAAGAAAGCAGGGAAAAGCAGGGAAAACAAATTGTGGGGCCAGATCAGATCTTTACTTGAAAGCTGCGAGCATGAGCTCTCAGCTGCTTAATTTTGGAATATAAGTGGAAATGACAAAGTGAGCCATCACTGTAATTGTATTTGTTGCCCGAAATCTGGGCTATACGTACAAACATCCTTTTGCAGGCAAATCCACGTACATAATCTGCAAGGATTCATTCTTCTCTTCCTTCTCCAGCTCTCTGCAGAAATTCGTGTTTGCAGGGACAGCCTTGCAGCCCCACTGTTTGCATTGCTGCCATTGTATTCCCACGCAAGTGGGTCACTTCTGGCTACTTCTGTGATTCACCCTTCTTTCAATGCCTATTCAAGTAATTGCATGTTTGCTGGTGCTGTGACTCCCTTTCATGCCTTGCCTTTCTTCAGCCCTGTAAACCTTTTGCCACTCATTCTGGGAGACAACAGGGGATGAGGGACTGTGGATCATATGTACTCTGAAAGTAGGCAAATTTATTACTGTTAGGCACATTTATGTGTTGCTCCTTTTGCACTACCCTGGGCAGCAGCTATAACAGCACAAGAGCACTTGCTTCTGGTAGAAATCTCTAAAAACTGTACTCCTTACACTGGGTGGTAAAATACCTAAAATACCAGAGAGACAAGAAGGCAATTCCTTGCATCGCTACACTTTTCTGCACTTGAGTGTTTTGCTTAGAAGCAATTAGTTTAGTCTTCACACAGTGAAATTCCAGAAGTGAAGGTGATGGAAGGAGTTTCAAAAACAGCTTTATCCTAGGTTTAAAAAAACCCAAACCACCTTCATTATGTTTGTCGGGCTTTCACCCCACACACAACCTGGTTTAAAGTATAAAATGTGTCCTGCAGGAGAAGACAGTGAGGATCCCTGAGGATATCACACTGTGCAGAGCAGCCTGTAATCACCCTGACAGCTTAGCACACTCCGGGCAGGCAGATAACTTCCTTGTGACAAGCTCAGTGTGGAAGTGCCCTGCGCTGCAATGGGCTGCTCACAGCTCACGGGATCCTCCCATTTTCCTGTCCTGTTTCACTACAGCCACAGCACAGGCCAGAATTTCCTCTCCAGTGGGCTCCTAATGCTCAGGACTTACATCCTCGCTGGGGTGTGGAGGGATGGCTGTTAGACACACACAGGCTGTCTAGGAAGAGTGACTTTGGTGTCACTGCCAGCTCTGCTTGTACCAGAGCCCTGGAAAGCCCAGCCACTCCTTATTGCTGCCATCTGAGTAGAGGAGCTTGGCTGCAGTAAGGAGCAGCCTTGGATGACCTCCAGCTGCTTCCACAGCTCCAAAACTCTGCAAACGGTAATACACAGCAAAGATAAGCACTGCAAGTGAAATGCATGCCAACAACGTCAAGGAAGGCTCACCTGGGGTGTAGGAGTCACCCATCATCCTGTGACAAACCTTCCTGGCTCCTCAAAGCCTTTGGATTATACACGGAGCCTGAATAGAAACCCCCATTCACATGCCTTGCCCCAGGGTCAGCCTTTAGAATTGGCGTTAATTCTCCACATTTGGCAGCTTTCTGCAAGCCTGTTTCTGTCGCTGGTGGCTAAATCCTGTAGCTCTGGTAGCCTGAACACAAGGCAGGCTAAGATATGATGAGGGCGAGAGCTGGGAGGATCACAGAGTCTTTCTGGCCAGTTTCAAGCCTAACTCCAACAACAAGAGTTTAAAGAGCCTTTACTTAATTCAGTAAAACCATCACCCAAAACCAATCACTTCAGTCCAGACAAAAGCTTGGCTTGTGGCCCTGATATCCTGTGTGTCTATTGGCTAATGGTTCTATGCTTTTGGTGTCTTTGTGGGTCTAAGAAATAAAAAGTGAGAAAAAGACTTTGAGGAAAATGTCCCAAGCTAAAGAGCTGTACAGGTAATTTTGAGGACTGAAAAAGAAAAAAATTACGCTTACTGCAAACGTTGTGCTGTGGACATCATGCAGTGAAAGTGAAACAATGTCATGAGGGACTTTGAGCTTATTGATAAAGTCTCTAAGTAGATAAAGTCATAATAGTCTCCAAGTTAATGTATACACCACTCATTTCCTCCTGAAGTGCTGGCAGGAGGGAGGCCAGATCAAAACTGAGAAAGGAGGAGGAGTGCTACTCCTAGAAGCCTGTGAGAGAGGAGCAGAAACTCGGGATGTGCTGTGGCCCTGTGGCCACAGATTTCTGTATTTTGTAGGCCAGAGCATCGTCTCTGAGATCACATCAAAAGGGACTTTTGGATTGTTTCAGCTGCAATCTTCCTTAAACCCCTTCTTGTCCCCCCTCTTCCCACCATGCCCCCAGTGAATTCTTACAGAGGTCTTTGGGAGGCACGTGTCCACCTCCACAGCATCCTGACCATGTTCCTGTTCTTCTCTTTGCAGCATGCAGTCCTGCCCGAAGACGAGCCAAAGCTACGCAGCACATCCTGGCAAAGAGTGTAAGAAAAATCTCCTTTCCTCTCCCTGTTTTTTATTTGACATTCTAGTTGGCTGTGCATACCCTCAAAAGTGCTGTGGGTCAATGGGAAGCAGATCTTCCAGGGTAAAGAAGTGCATCCATGTCTGATGCAGGGAGTGGGGTGGGAAACAGAAGGGGAGTTTCTGTAAAGTAGCAGTTTATTTACATAAGTTCTTTGAAACAAACAAACAAAAAAAAAACCACAAAACCAAACAAACAAACAAAAAGGTATTGCCATGCAGAGCCAGTCAAAATTAACATAGTGGCTTACCAACACTGGCCATCTGAGGAAATCACCAACTTCAATACTGTCCATAGAGCCTTCCAGAGACATGCAGGAATGAAAAGTAAGCAAATCGCAACAAATAATAAATCATATCAGTGTTAATCAAGTAATAATAATAATCATGTTTGTCCCCTGGCCCCAGCTGTGCTTGCCTGCCTTTGCTTCAGCCTCGGTGCAGAGGGCACAGAGGAACCCCCCAGATTAAAATAACTGAACATTCTTCATGCTCTGAGTAAATGTCTTGCAAGTTCAGCTGCTTTCACACTTCAGAGACAGTTTTCTCTCCTGAAACCCACTTGACCCTTCTTCATGCTCTGAGTAAATGTCTTGCAAGTTCAGGTGCTTTCACACATGGGTGTGAGGTTTCTTGTCTTCAGAGACAGTTTTCTCTCCTGAAATCCACTTGACCTATTCACAACCCCTTGCACAATCCTTTCAGCTGATTTGCAGGATTGACAGTCTCTTCTGCATATCAGAGCACTTCTTACAAGTTTGAGACTCTTCTGCCAAAGCATTTCTTCTCACCACAGACCTGTCTCTTATCTAGCACTTTGCTGAAGTACTTTGCTCCATGGCCTTCCCTTTTTCCATGCCCTTTCCTGCTTCCCAGATCCATCCTCATTTTCCAAGAGCCTTTTCTTTGTATTCCTGATTTCCTGATCTCCCCAGGGAACTGTAAGTCCTCCTGCTCACCACACTTACCTGTGCACTGGAAAAAAACCCCATCACATTCACTGTCACCCTCTCTTTTGGTTATTAAAGCAGATCACAGGATCCCAATACATCACAGGACACCTGAAGTGGTCCCCAGGAAGAGTCAGTAACATGTCTGTCATTTTTGGGGTAGAAAATCTGCATGTGTATATTTTCCCAAATTGTGACAGTCTTGGCTTGGTTGATTTTGTCCCATAACTCAGGCTGAGATTTCAAAATTACTCTCCATTCCAAAAGAAAGATGAGTCAGACTGCTGGAGTGTTACTCAAAATAAGCCATTTTGAGATACCCCACTTTTATTTGTTAAACCTTTGGTATATTTTGTTTTCCATGCAATATAGAAACAGCAGAAAAGACCAAACTAAAAGTGAAGTATTCTGACTTGACAAAATACTCAGATAATCTTTTTTTTTTGACAATATTTCTCATAGAACTATTTAGCTGAAAAATTTCAGCTGACTTACATCAAAATAAACAGAAATTCTATGTCTGTTATCTAGTTCCAAATCTCAGTAGATAGTTGTTTCTACTAAATGGAAGCATCACAGATTTAATTTGGATTGGATCAGCTGCTGTGGCAGCACTGTACTCATAAAAGCCTAAGAAAATGAGATAAGAAAGTCCCTGTTTTGTTGCCATATTTTAAGAGGATTGGTTTTTTTTTCCTTTGGGGCTTTCCTGACCCCAATTAAGGATGTCCTTTGATTGGCTCTTAGTCATGATGCAGGCAGCATCATATTAGCAGTGGGAACACCAAGCCTGAGGAATGGTCTGCAGTTCCAGCTACAAAAACAAGGATGGCTCTCAAACCAAGGTGTTTGACTGAGCACAGTCAACTCTTGGACATTCCCTTCTTCAGTGGGATGCAGCTGCTTACAGCTCGTAAGCAAGCATTGAAGTAAATTGCACATACTGGAATAGATGTGCCTGTGGGGAAGCTGTGATTGCCAATTTCTAGACCCACAGAAAAGTCGCAGAATGATGGTTTATTTTTCACTTTTACATCTGCACCTGCAGTCAGAGCTGTAGAAATGCCTCAGCTAACACAAAATCTTCTGCTCTGGTGATTGCAGTGGATGCACAACTTTAATCCTCAGCAAGGACAAAAATAGCAACCAACGTGGACATCTGCCAGACCTTTTTTTTCCACAGCAGAAATACTCAAGCAGTGTAGCATTAAGTGATTTAACATTCAAATTACTGACTGTGGGGGGTAACTTCCATCACACACAAGAACTCATCCCAAATGCATGATAATGACTGTGGAAGGAGGAAGCACCTTTTTTATTTTTAGCTGAGTGTTTCACCAATATGAATATTTGCAGTTCCTATTGCCCTGTTAAGAGTTATTTCCAGTGGCAGCAGATCTTTGCCTTCTCTTCTTCTTCTAGCCCCAAAGTCCCTTGGGTAGAACTGTCTGGACACCAGTACCTGTCTACTTTGCAAGAAAGTAGAAAATATCCCTGTGCATGCTAGAGCTGCCACATTTTTAGAAATCAGCTCAGCATTAGGCCATCAAAATAACTTAACTCTACAAATCTGGAATTTTCTCCACTAAAAATAACACATTGTTATTCAGACTCTAACTTTCAAAGTTTTATCCAAAGCCAGATATTTAAAATTGTCACCTTTTCTGGGTGGTTGTTGGTTGGAAGTAGGATTTTAAGTCCAGGATCAGGATGGTTGGAAGAACTCTGTGACTGTCCTGTGTCCTCTGTGCCCCTTCCCTCTGAACACAGCTAATTCCAGCAGTGGGTATGCCAGGCCTCAGCGCTCTCATGTGCATGGCAAAGTCCAGAAAAATAGAGTTTTCTGGGCTCTGATTTTGGAGTTAGTGTCGTGCAAACAGACTGGGCCAGTCAAAGGATTTAGAGGTTCTAAAATCAGTACGTTTTTAGAGAGCAGTTTGCTAATTCTGCATAGTTTGGCTGACTCTGCCATTTGCACAGATTTAAATTTCCTGGTATGTCTAGAAAAGAAAAGTGACTCCCAGTTGATCCTTCTGCTTTACCCTAGGTACCCTAGAGAAATGTCAGCTCCACTTTAGATCAAAACCAAGCTACAGCAGGTTTAGTTTCCTGACCTAGATAAGTCTTTACATATTACAGTAATGGCTGAGGTAGCCAAAGTCACTGTAAAATCTTGAATTAGTAGATAAGGAACTCCCAAAATGTGCTACAACCAAATGCTGCAAAAAAGAAAAAAAAAAAAAAAAAGAAAAAAAAAAGAAAAAAAAAAGAAAGAAGCTGCTGAAAATATGCTACAGAGATTGCACTGTTGTCTCCAGCTGCAATGGAAAATAGCACTGTAACTTATTTATACAGGTTCTGCTGCTTGAAGGTGTTTTGGCATTACTGATATCATATGTAACAAGGAATCTCAATAACACAGACAACGTGCCTAAATAATTCTTGCTATTAATCAAGATAAAAATCCTCTTCTTTTCCCCAAACTGCATTTCATCCTGTGCAACACGTAGGCAGAAAGTTAAGTTTCAAGTCCATGGTGGTTTACACTGATCAAATAAGCCACTTTCAGGATTACAGGCGACTGCAGCCAGCATCCTACTTACCAAAAATGCTCTTTCCATGACAGTGCAAAATAAGTGATGTCTCAGTAGCAGAGGGTTGATGACATTTTCTGTCACACACCAGCAAAGACTAGGTGTGACCAAGAGCACTGGACATTTTTCCAGAGATGGTGGGAAAAGCTGAGCTTTGTGGCATTCCTTGAAAGCTGGAAGAGCTCAGTTCACACGAGGCACACTCCAAGGGCTGTCATTAGAGACCCTGCCAGCCACAGCCTCCTCAGCTTAGTCCTGAACATGGGAGTCTCCACTGGTGCCCCCGTGGTGAAGGGGGTGATGCTCTGTAAGGTTTGTGTGGACACAGGAGCCTGAGCCTGAAAGAGCTGCTGCAGAAGGATGGGGAGGTGCTGGAGCTGCTCCAGGGGCAGCAGGGAGGGAGCCAATGCCAACAGCTTAAGCAGCAACAGGAGGCCTCTCTCAACTAGCATCACCCTCATTCTGAAACATCGCAGCAATGCTGAGGCTCAGCCCTGTTGGCAGCTCCAAATTTGTGATCAGGAGAGCTGGGAGCCAGCTACAGCCTCCTTTAGCATCTGCTTGCCTTCAAGGACACCAGTAGTCCCTTTAACTGGGCATGTCTTTAAGTAGTTTACAGCACACGGAGCGTGTTAGGCTGTGTGTCAAAATCTGCAGAAACAGGGGGAAATCCCTATCCAGCCTTGGATTAGGCTTTGGTTGCCTTACCTGCCTTTTTCAGAAGTACTGTTGTTGGGCAGTTTCTGCTCCTCATCAGTAGGATTTAGGTAATGTAGGCTTGTCCAGACTCCTGAGGGTATGTGGAAACAAAAGAATTAAAAGTGGTTACGTTGGGATTTTTCTTCTTTCCTGTTTTGGAAAACATGGGTTTGCATATGTTGTATGTCCATGTAAAAAATCATATACACAGAACATTGCAGATTTATGGCAAATTGAATTAAAATTAATTAGAGGAAATGGACAATTTGGCATGAGGGTACATGCTTGAATGGGGTCTTTTTTTTATCTTTAGTGTGCATTAGAGGGCAGAGCACTAGACAGAATTAAGGCTTTTTCTATGTCAATAGTGAGCTGACCAGTTTTTGGTCTTAGTCTTGAGGCAAAATAACTATATTTGTATCTAAAACACGTAGACAGCAGCTGCCAGTCATCAGCTAGATGTAACTAACTGCTTTTCTCCTGGTCTTCCAACATGAGTAAGTCTAATAGGAAATAGCCTGAATAGTTGCCACGTCTTGTTTCCTGGCTGGTTTGGATTTTCACCCTGTTTAAGTGGTTCTCTGTATGACAGCAGCAAGTCCTTAGGGAAGAATAAAAAAACCCAACCAAGTATGAAACACTCTGTCCCTGCTGTTGGAACTTTGATCTTCTTGAGAAAACTCTTTCCAGACCATCCTGGAGAACGGTCCTGATGAATCCACTTCTTTGAGGTGCATCCCTGTTTGTCCAAACTCACATTAGCTCTGGCATCCCCAGTTGCCTGTGGCAGCACAGTGAGTGCCGTGGCTTAGTCATAATTGATTAGAAAAGGACTTGATTTTGTTCATGCTTGTTTTCAGGGACTTGGAGATTGGGGGGTGGGGGTGAGGCCCAAAGTTGCAGCTGTCAGTGAGTTTTGTCTGGGTGAGCTAATGTTTGTGAAATTAATCTCCAGGAGCACAACTCCTCTCTGCCTCGTATTCTCTGTGGTCATTTATCAGGTAAAATATGTAAGTAAGTTTAAAAGATGGGAGAGACATTAAGGAAACAGCATTTGTAATTCGCATGAGTTTGACTGGTCACCCAAGATGTGATGCGGTAAGAAAATAAATCTGAGCTGTCTCAGAGGCATATCTATTCAGTGGAACTTGGAAAGGAGCACATTTCGGCCTCCCGAGTAGAGTACAGAAAGGTGCAAATAAGGAGCTGGGTCCCAGAAAGGCCCAGCAGGATTTCCCCACACTTCAGAAGCTGGAGCCAAACACAATCCCGCAAATCCCACCCCCCCACCTGACAAACCCCGCTTTGCACGCCAGCAGAGCAGCAGGAAGGACACGCGGCCTTTGGGCTCCCCATGACCCGGGGCCGGGTGCCGGGTGTGAGGGGTGTTTGCTGTGCCCCGCAGGCGGCGGCGGCGGTGCCGGAGCGGCGGTGCCAGCACGGGGAGCTGCGGTGGTCCCAGCACGGTGAGCCGAGGTGGTCCCAGCACGGTGAGCCGAGGCGGTGCCAGCACGGGGAGCTGCGGTGGTCCCAGCACGGTGAGCCGAGGTGGTCCCAGCACGGTGAGCCGCGGTGCCAGCACGGTGAGCCGAGGCGGTGCCAGCACGGTGAGGCGGGCGGCGAGGCGGCGGCTTGGGCCGCGGGCGGCCGGCAGGGCGGGCCCGCCACGGGCGCTGCCCGGCACGGTGAGTCCGCGGACGCGGCCCGTTATGCAGAGAAGCGGGCTCTTTATTGTGTACCTGGAGGATAATTCCGTGATTAAAATATCCGCTGGGATTAATGAGCTAATGGCCGTGGCGTTGCTCAATTTATTCAGAGTCATAAGCACTCCCTGACTCTCAGGCTTCTTGCTGTTGGGATGACCCCGAGAGTCCTTTTTTCCCAGCCCAATGGTCTAAGAAAGAGTCGGAATTCTCCAGCTCCTGTTCACAAGGTTGTCTTTTATCTAAAATATTTTTTCTCAGACCCGCAGAGTTCTGTCTAGCAGGGCTGTCTGAGGCACACTCCCTGCCCCTGGGCTGGTGTCTACATTTTATACTACAAGTTACATGTACTTTATTTATAGTTTTTTTCCAATACCTATCGCCTATGTTAGACAGTCTACTTCTACTCTAGACCAATCTAAATGTGCCACCATCACAACACAGACAGAGGTTAGGAAGAAAAAGGAAGAGGAATAGGACAACACTCATGTCCCTCCATCTTACCTCCTAGACCCCCTATAATAAAATCCCCAAAACTCCATTTTTCACTGGGTGATTAATTCATTGTCACTCTACTTAAACTTTTCTGACTTGCTAGTCTTCATACAAGGTTGGTAATTTGCTCCATGGGTTAAGACCGAAATCCCAAGTGTCTTTGTCTTCCTGCCAGGACTCCCCAGCTCCCTGCCAGGTTCTCCAAGCCCCTGCCAGGGGCTCGAGCCATCCAGGGCACCCAGAGGGGTGTCCTGGGTTCCAACACCTGACAATATTTTAAGGATGACAAATTGTAAATTACTGCATTTGCCTGAGTCATCCTATTATATAAGATCCCTGTTCAGTTGCTTAGAATCAGCTAGAATGTAATCATCAGGGATGGATTTTCAGATTCTGGATGTCAGCCACAGACCTGATTTTTTGGCAACCAAAGCTTGTTCAGCATATTTGTGAGAAACCGTGAAGGAAAAACAGAGCTTGCCAATACAAAACCAAGGAGATGAGTAAACATAAACAGAGCGGCCATTCAGCTCCTCCAACACTGGTGTGTTATGTTTGGAAAACTGAAGCTGGAGCAGGGCTGTGCAGTTTCTCATGGGATGGCCTTTTAATCAAAAACACATCTTTTGCTCTCCTTTGAAAGATCACCCAGATGCAGTCAGGTAGTATTTCTTTAAAGAAATCCCACATGGCATGTTTTTCCAAGATAAATTGGACATTTGGATGTTAAAAGGTGCTAAATCTCTAAAGCAGGTCCATGAAGGTGCATGTTCCTCACATCATTGGTCTGCAATCACACTGCACATATGCCATCCCATTGAGAAACCAACCAGACAAGAGTGGGGCCTGGGAAACTGGAAAGGAAGAAAGTGAGCCCCTGGGACCATAGGAAAAGATCTCAAAAAGATCTCAGGACCAGAGCCAAGATGTGGCTGAAAAAAGAACAGGAGTTTCAGGACTGGAGCAGGGACAGGAGAAGGAGTGGCTGGGACTGGCTACAGGGTAAAGGATGGCAGAGAGCCAGAGAGGCAGAAAGGAGGGACTGCTGGTCTGTGCTCTTGGGGGAGATGAGAGGTACTGGATGACAGATAGCTGCAAACAAGAGAAAAGCTGTAGGAATCTAAAACAAGAGCAGAAAAGGGAAACAGGTCCCATAGAGGGAGAAAGGGAAGTGAGTTGGCAGAACTTAGAGAGTAAGTTTAAATTAGAACCAAAAACAGACAAACAAACAGAAGAACACAGATGAGGCCATTAGAAAATGGCAATCAGAAATCCTGCACAAAGAGCAAAGCAGAAGTACAGTCCATTCCAGCATTCTGGAAGTGGAATTCACACTGCATCCAGCCACCACTGCCCTGAGGGGAGCAACTACAAACTTTGAAGCCATGAGGACTTTCTTTTGCTTAGATATTTTTCTGAAAGTTTGCAAGAACATTTTCTGTGTCTAATAAGAGGGACAGGCTGAAGGGAAGAATCAGACAAAGTAAGAAAAGCAAAACCAAACAAAAAGGAAAAATATGGGCATCAGCTGAAGCACTGATGATGCACTTGCTGGGTACTGTTAGTACCTAATATGCACGATGAGAGGAGGTAATTGCATTAGCTTTGACATGAGGGATACAGTAAGGTACCTAATGGAATTGCTGCAGGGGGGTGGAGCAGGAAGAAGGAAAATGGTTAGGATGTTTATCACAGGCAAATATTGCCCCCAGAAGGAGGAGACAGTTCCAGTTGCTAAGTCATGCTGGAGACAGCACTAGAAGCAGCACCCTGGCTGTTTCCAAATTTTCTGTTATTATTTATAATCCATTGGTCAAAGCAGTAGAGAGGTCCACATTCCCACAGCCAAATAGGAGGATTTGACCTCATGAAAAAATCTGGCATCCCTCACTCATATATTTCCTTGGCACGGTGGGCAGGAATGTCAGTGAGCATTTATCCATGGATAAGTTATTGGATGAGCAATTACTTGAAACTGAAGGGTAACCTTCAGAGCTGAGGACAGCAGAGAGAGAGCTGTCACTCAGCCACAGGCAGAAAGGTGGAAGTCCCTCCCTGTGATGGGGTAGACATAGCACACATCTCTGCCCAGGTTAAAACAACTCCCCAGAGCAATACAGAAAGGAGAGAATGATCTCCTAGGCAGGACAAACCTGCAGTGGGGGCTGAGGAGCAGCATTGGGCTCTTTGCTTGTAGAAATACACGAATGCTTATAGAGGGGGAAAGGGCTCCCACTCAGCTTGGTCTGCTAAGGGCAGCTTGTCATCTCATTTGAAAAGTCCAGGGGCAAGCTGAGAGACTTTCCAGAGTGACTTAAGCAGCCCCACAATCACTTATTTTGACATCACAGTAGATGATCTCTGTGCTCTTTTCCCTATAACCAAATCTGGTGGGACTGTGTCCTGTATCTGGGCTCTGTCCATATCTGGGGTTTACTGCATGGAAGGAGGTTTTTCATACAAGCTGTTCCAATGGGACAATTGCAGCTAATGTCATGTTTCTTATGCTTTACAGTGGGAATTACTGAACAGGAGTCATCCAAGTCCTGTAATCACCTGTTGGACGGAAAATCCTTGGTAAGCAAATAGAGCAAGACCAGCTCATCTTAAAACCTGTACCCATCAACGTGTCCCACAGTAACAGCACGTCAGCCTGTTGCAGCACCTGCAGATTTAGCCCTTGCTAAAGCTTGAAACATGATTTATGCCAGAGGATCCCTTAGCTGGGAGCAGAGACTGGCACAGGACAGGGAACTGCCCCTCAGGAACTGGGAAGAGTGGTGGCATGGAAACAGACAGGCTCCTACTCTGGATGCTCCGCCACCTGCAAGAGCTGGGAGAAATTAACCTCTTGTCTCTCAGGGCATTTCACAAATTGGGAAAAATAATTCTCAAGTGGAACAAGCATCAAATAATTTGTTTTCTCCGGAGTGCCAAGCTGACACAATAATCTCCAAAGCCAGAAACATAAAGAATTGATGGGAAAATTATCATACAAACCCCCAAAATGTGTTCTCTGATAGACAGAAAAAATATTTTGGTTAAAAATGACTCACCTTTACTAAAATGTTCTTCCTCCCTTCTTTGTCTTACAGTGCCCCCCTAATTTTCATCGTCTCTACATTTAATAAAAACTACTTTTTCAAAGAAAAAAATTATTTTTAATAGTTTCTGGCCAACACCAGACCATGCATTTGAAACTTTATGGTTTCAGAGGCTCTTTTGGATGGCTGAAGCATGCTTGCTAGCTGATATCTGGCTACCCTTAAGAAAAATGACAGTACAGTACTTAAGGATGTTTAAAACTAATGTTATTCAGTGTAATGAATTTAACTGGACCTACCAATAATTAACACAGTTACATTTCAAAGGATGCTTGCAAAAGTGATTTCAAACATCTCTAAGCCTTAGGATACTTGAAAAACACACTTAAATGTACCCAGTCTCTGATTAATCCTAGGAGAAATAGCCCTAGAAAGCTTAAGACCTGTTATGGTAGTGACAATAATATGAACATTTTTTTTCAAGATTGCCAGTAAAATCAATAAGTGTGCTTATTGCCTGAAATAATGAGATCACCTCACAATTTTTGACTTTTTTTTTTCTATTTCTGGGCAACTCACACTTAAACTTACCATCTTGGAGGATATGCTATTCTCAGAGACCTGGTTATGGAAAAACGTGACTCAGTTCTGGTGGGCAATTTATGATCAAATAAGACAAGGAGGAAGTGGATGATTAGGCACTTGTGGGGCTGTGGCAGAACTGGAGCATAGCCAGCGTGCCCCCACACCACAGAGCAGCACACAACAAAACAGGGAAGCATCTCTGAGTGCTGAAGGAGCTGTGATGGCTGAGATATCTGCTTCCCAGGCTGCTGTAGAGGTGGGAGCAGCAAGAGGCAGGCTGCTCACTCTGCACACAACCTCATTGCCTCAGGAAGATAAACACAAAAACTAGGGAGTAAAACGTTCTGCAAGTGTCCCTTCTTTGATGGGAGGTGTAACTCTGGCTCACTGAAGTCCTGTGCTGAGCTCAGTGAGAATATTCACGTGAGCAGCTGGTAACTGTGTGGGTGAGAGTCGGGCCGTCAAATCCTTAACCTGCTTTCTCTTGTGAAGAGATTTACAGCATTTATTGGTTTTCCTAAAACAGCCTCTTTCCTCAGATGAACCGGTGTCCCCACTCATCAGTGGCATTTCCTGATGATGTGCTTTATCCTCCCACAGATCCCTCCATCTCCAGTTGCCCACATCACGGTGAGAGCTGTGGCTGTCACGGGCTCGCCCACACGCGACCGCACTTCTACGGAAGAGTAAGTCCCTTCCCACCCTCCAGACATGCCTCTTGCTTCCCAAAGGCAGGGAGAGATTGCTAAAGGTTGATTTTGTTATCAGCCATAGCCATATACGCAGCTGTTGCTGTGCCCATTACACCTCTACTTTATCACTAGAAAAAAAATCATTGTGATTCAAAATAAAAGTATTTTCCCCCTAAGAAGTCTGTAATATTTGCCCTAAAATGTGATTAGAAAATGTAATTAATTGAAGAAAAAAATTATGTCTTGAAGTGTAATTAAGGAACAGGTTGACCATAGTACAAATGCACTCATCACCAGGCAGTTAACCCAGAAGTGGGTCTGGGTGGGATTTGAGATGCCACCATTGTCACCTGAGGGACAGTAACTAGCTCATTGTCACAGTGTCCTCGCACTCCATACACAGAAATGCAAGTTCCCCACAGCCAGTGGGGTTCATCACAGCCAGTGGGGCTTTGGTGGAAGGGCCCAGCTCTCTCCTTGGGCAATCCCCCTGCTCCTTGTTGGGTGGCAGCTGCTAGAGAGGATGCACTTAGAGGGGTCCCACCTGCAGCCCGTCCCCTTGTGTCAGTGTCCCCTCTGACAGTGAGGGAACAAGAGCACCAAGCTGAGTGGTGGCAGCTGCAGCATCCCAGCCCCCTGACCCACAGAGCTCATTCCAGCCTTGCTGATCCCAGGGGTGGGCCAGGCATGGGCACGTGTTTCAGCCAGGCATGGGAACTCCTTTTCAGCCAGGCAGCTCCTGGTTCTAAGTGGCTGGTTGCCACAAGCAGGGAAGAAGGGCCGGGGAGAAGCACTCTGCACACACCTTGTGTTTCATTTGTCAGCCACAGGCAGCGCTGGAGGAAGACAACAGAGTATGACCTGGCCCTGCCACCAGGAGCAGAAGCTTCCCTACCACTGACAGGAGGCAACCTGTGTGGGACACCCAGCCTCCTGAGGAAGATGTGGATGAAGCACAAGAAGAAGTCAGAGTACCTGGGGGCAACAAACAGTGCCTTTGAGGCGGACTGATGAGGCTCAATATCCCTTGGAAAGGCAGAAGGTCCTTTAGCAGGACAAGGTGCTTTAGGATCAATGAGGGAACGGACACAGCACAGCTCATCCAGGAAAATGATATCCTTTTTGTTACTTGATGCCATTGCCTCAGAACAGTGGGAGAAAGGCTAACAAAGGTAAAAATGATGAATGTGATGCAACTCAATGGCCTTTCCTTGTTGCATCAAATGAAAATCCTGACTAACCCACTAGATTTACCTCTTGACTCAATGCTGAGACTACTGCTGACCCATCCAACATTTCCATTGTCCTGTCTGAATGAGCTCAGACTTGAAACAAGGGAAGCCTACAAAGAGGTTTGTGTTTTCCTGCAAGGCAACAGACTGATTACAGAGTGCCATTAAATCCCAGGGATCTGCTTGTGCACCACTGCCTGTCATCTTTCCCCTCTCATATCATGAGATAAAAACCTCATCTTGCAATATGCTTGGCTGAATGACACATGCTAAAAAACATCTCTTTTCCTTCAGTTTTGATGTTTCAAGACAGGAGTAAAAGATGCAAAAATTCTAAAACAATGGACCAGAACTGAGAAAGTTTGCAAACATATGTACCAAACTTTGCTACGTGACAAATGACTTGTGTTTTAAGTTGTCCTGCCAGATCAAACTATGAGCAAGAGGATACCCTCAAGGGATACTTTCTGCTGTAGAACCTGCTTATAAGTGAAATGGTAGTCAGCAATTTACCCTCTACTCATGTGGTAAAGGATATTACATTAAGTGCACAAAATACTAAGAGGAAGGAAAATATGTAAATGGTGCAACTAGGTGACTAAGTATAAGATATTTGCATGTAAGAGACCCATGCTTATGAATAGATGGATTTAATGGGATTTGCTTTAAAATTTTTTCTCTCTTTTTTTTTTTCAATTTGGAGATTGCTGGTCAGGTCCTCTTCAGTTTTTCTCTTAAAGAACAAAAAATAGTTTTACAAAAAAGTTTTCACCACTGTTATGGACAATATTACATTAGCCATGAGCAGTACTTGCCTTCTGTGAGTGCTCTCCTACTTACTATAAAAACCACTGTTTTTCCTAAATACAGAACTTTATATTTAAAGTCAGAGGAGGCGTATCTCCTGTTGTTTGTAGCAATGATGACCTCTAATCTAACCGCCAATGCACCAAGGTGTAAATTAAAAATAAAACTCTGACTCTGGGACAGTAGCAGAGGGAAGGAGCTCCCATCTACACCTTGCTTGCCTGCAGCCCGTGCAGTGAAGCCACTGAGATGCCATCACAGACAATGCCATGGTGGTGAGGGGCAGCTGGCCCTGCTCAGGGGTCACCCCTCAGGAGTACCAAGGGACCACCTGGATGGGAGGGAAGGACAGCCAGGACTTCTGGCTTTGGGTTGAGGAGCGTGGAGCAGCACACAGGAGAGGTTTGCAGCTTGACAGCCGAGCAACCAAAGTTCATGGAATGGGAAAACAAATGGAGCAGGCCAGTAGCTTTACAGAGCATATGGTCCTGATGGCTGCAGGGAGGGCAGCAGCAAAAATCTATTGGGGCTGGACATGGTGGAAATGGTAGTAGGATGGGGATGGAAGTTCTTACTTAAAAAGCTACTGTGGCTTTTCTTACTACTGAAAAAGGTACTGTGGCTTTTCTTACTGCTAGAGCCAAGTCAGTCCAGTGTGCCAAGGAGAGAAAGGCACTGCACCTTCATGAAATACCTCTGTTAGCCCTCCTGTTCAGCTCTCCATCACTGCTCCAGTCACAGGCTCCTCCATCAGTTTCCTCAACTGGCCACTCCGCACCTCGAAACCACACAGACTCTCCCTCCCCATTACCAAAGGTGAAAGTCCTTCTCTGGCCCAGCAGCCTGAGACAGGGATGATCTGCTCTCCAGCTTTCTTTTCTTGCTCCTGGGAAAGAAGTAGAACACAGTTCCTTGTGAACCCCATGCTGGCAGTGGTGACCCAGTGTTGCCCATGTGTTCTCTGCATGAGAGGGCAAAGCTGACACCCACTGAAGGCTGCTCACCTGAGGTTTCTCACAGGGGTCCACCCCACCTTCAAATTAGAGTCTGGCACACTGATCCTGTGCAAAAGTCTGAGCACCCTGACCCTGCCAACTTCAGGTCCTCTATGACTGAGCCAAGCTGGAGCCATGGTGAAGAGTTTCCTGAAGCATTTTTTACAAACATCACCAACCACACTTCAGCCCCCTCCTCAGCCCATAGGACTCCTGCCAGAAACCATATCTGTATTTTTGCACATATAGGTAAACCTGGTAAATTCAGTGGGACTGCTCCCCTGCACAGCAGTACACACTTTCAAAGAGCTGGGATAAGACCAATCACTGCTTCCCCTTTCTGGTCTCATTTCCTAAACAAAGGAAAAATAAGGATGATGGACAGACACTGGGAAAAGTCCATTTACTGAATTGGGTGTAATTAAGGGAGTGAACATTTGTGGTACCTGCTCTTGTAGTTCACATGGCCCAAAAAGTAATGAAACACAGTCCAGGGCAGCAGAAGTTGCATTGTAGAAATAGTATTTAATTTATTAATTAATAGCTTTGGGCAGTATGAGGATGGAGGTGGAGATTATTAATATTTCTTCTTAATAATTGCTGTATTTTGACATTTGTATTTATGCTTTTCTTATTTATTTATTTATAATTTGGATCTACAAGAGAAGGAGCTATTTACAAGAAGGATATTTAATTTCTTTGTATTCCAGGAACTGCTGTGGAGATTTTTTGTATTGTAGTATTTATTTTATTGATTTAAAATTATGTTCCATACTTAAAAAAAAAAAAACAACAACAAAATAAACAAGTAGCATGTGGTTACATATGGATCTCAGAGACTTAGGAGTTTTTGGGAAGCATTTAGTGGCAAGTAAAAGAGGGTGTATGATACTGAAAAAAGGTGAATCTCTGATAGCAAAGAACATGAACTTTGTTCTCTGGAGCCTGAAAGTGTATTTGTGAGCAGCTTCAGTGTTGTCCAGGTGATAGAACCATTTTGTTACCAGATGTGCAGAGAAAAGCCCTGGCACTGTCAGCAGCTAGAAATCAGACGCACCTTTAGACACCCAACCTCAAGCAAATCCCACACTGGACATTTGCTCACCTCCCTCCCACCAAGTAAGAGTGCCAAGACAAAGAGTCCTGAAAGGGATTCAAGGCTCTGGTAGAGAATAAAGGCAATGGAGCTGTCACCATTGCCTCACTGAACTTACCTCAAAGACAACCCTGGCTTTGGAGAGCCCCTGCTGAACCTCGGCCCAGCCTGAGGTGGATGGCACAGGACCACAGGAGCCCAGCCTAGGGAAGGTGACTCAGGACTGCAAGTGGAAAGAATTCAGGATACAAGGAAAAAAGCTTATGGTGTGGGCATGGTCCATCAAGCCAGACTTCACAGCTCCCCATTAGAGGATGACTTATTCCCTGCCTGCCACCCTGCCCATAGTCACACTGCTCTGGTGAAAAGTTGCCACATTTCTGGCTCTTCCATTACAGACACCATCTATGTTTAATATGAGCAGCCAGGGAGTGTCCTCTTGGGGAGTGTCCACACCACAGGAGGTGCCACAGATTTTTTCCAGGACCTGGCCTCTGCTGGGAACTCATCTGGGAGTACCTGATATTTAGCTGTGCATTAAAAATACCAGCATGAGTATGGAAGAGGATGTGGATGTGCAACATATTTTCCAGATGAAGTTGTACAGAAAGCTGCATTAGGTTGACTCCAGCATGCTGTCAGAAAAATGTGAAATAGTGATTACAAAAATGAGTGAACTTCTCCATTTTTCCACCAAAGACACAAGCTGTTAACTGTGCAGGCAAAATGTTGCCTCTGGCACCACCAGACACAAGCCTGATGTCATAATTTATAACATCTGTGAGAAGATGCATTTTTCAGACATATTTCATGTCAATTTATAATTTGGTCTTCCCCAGAACTAGAGACTGACTAGGGCACTGATCTGACAGAAAGAGACTGCATGATGACAGTCCATCCTGCTTACAGCCATTTATAATTCATTTCCCCCCCCAAAAAAGATTTCTAATTTCTCCCCACCATTTCAAAACCATCTTTGTGATAGAACTACTCACTAAACGATGCATAATTGCTTTGCATACCACTTTATTTAAATAAACTGTAGTGAATTTAGGCTGGGCTAATATATAAAATAATTCCTGCTGATGCATGAAAAAACCACCACAGATATGCCTTACTGGCCTTTCTTCCCCTTTTGCTCTCACTTTACAGGTCCTGTAGCAAGCAGGTTTGCCACAAGAGTCAATCACAGACACGTCACTATTTGAGGGAATACCACATCCTTTATACAGAAAATGTTTAAACTCAAACATTGACATCAGCAGAATAGTTTTACTTCTGTAAGTTACCCAGTCAGAAAAGTTGCAATGTCAGAACTTGCACACACAAAAATTGAAACAAGCCAGATTTCTCAGATGAGACCCCTGATAAGAATCTCTACAAACAATACAGATGTCAAATAGACACTATTATCTATGCAAAGTTTTTAGAATCTCAGCATTAACTCCAGAGATGATTCACCAGTGAGCAGCTAAACCCTAAACCTTTGAGGTGAGTAATGATGTTATTCTGGGTAGTCCCAGTCTCCTACTTATGATTACCTCCTGGGAGTGTATCATCAATGTCCTGGCAAGCTTTCACTCCCTCTTCCACCAGCATCTTTTCCAATTCTTTTGCCAGCCCATGGTGAGCTAAGGTGGCTGAATGCCTGTAGCCCTGAGGAAGCCCTGTAAAGGTACATGGTTGCCCCCATACACAAAGGCAAACTGATGTTGATCCCCTTGCTGCAATGGCACCACACAAAACATGTCTTTAACATCAGCAGTGGCCATGACCCTGTGTGCCTGCTCCTGGCTGCTGGCTGCGAGCTCAGGGGTGTTTGGTACAGCTGCTGGTGAGGGGTCTGTGCCAGCACTACTACAGCAGCAGTCCACAGTTAATCTCCACTTACCATTTGGTTCTCACACTGGCCATACTGGGGAACTGGAAGCTGAGTGAGTGGGGATAATTTCCTATTTTTTCACCTCCTCTAGAACTGGGGCGATTCCCTTCCGGACCCCAAGGGCAGTCATTAGAGTTTGACATTTGTAAGTTTTGAAGGGGGAAGATGTGGGGCCATCAGCAAGTCTAACTTGGTGGTTGGTAAGGACCACTGGCACCTCAGATTGTCAAGCTCTCCCTTTCAAAACCTCCAGTCCCAGTAAACTTAAAAGGAAGTCCCCTGTTGCCATGGTAACAGTCATGGTAGCTTCTTCTCCCAGTAAGGTAAGAACAACCGCAGCGGTAGTTACTGGTTGTGACACCCCAACACGTTCACTACAAGCAAGGGCCACTTGGGTGGAGCAGCTCCTCAGGTGGTGGCATCTTGTTTAGTCAGGGCTGATATCTGAGCCCCAGTGCCCACGCAAAGTGTCAGCACTCTGCTTTTGGGTCTGGCAGCTACCATCAATAGGCGTCTCCATTTCCATTACCTGTGAGCTGTCCAACATAAACCAGCACAGCTGCTGCTCCCCTGCACACCTCAAACGAACAGAGCTTTCAGGTTCCCTCTTTTGTTTAGCACACTTTCTTCCCTGCCTGTATCTATTAAAGAGGGTGTGCTCAGGCTCATATTACATTTCTCTGCTCTTGGTTTCCGGGACATTTTGCCCAGCCATTGTAGTACCATCTCACTTGTCCAGGGGAAACCATCCATTACTTTTTAGAGATTTCCTTCTGCCAGCCTTGTGATCAAATTGCCTCTCGTGAGTGGGCATTCCCACCCAACCTGATTGGCATGGGGAAGGATCCTGTGAGAAATCCTCAGAGTACATCAGGTGGTCCAGATTAGAAAGAAATGTGAGCAGCAATTTAGAGGTACTGCTGTGATCACCTAGCCATGCCTTTTCCAGCCTCAGTGCTCCTGGAGTTGTAGGCTCTTTGATTCTCTCAACCCTAACCCCAACCCCAATGGCAGCTCGACCCTGGGCCAGAGCTCCTCACTGCCACAGGTGGCACAGATTAAAGAGTGTGGAGCTGGCAGTGGTGGCACCCTGCCCTGGTGCCCTTGCAATGCCTTTTCGAGTGCCAGTGTCCCTGAAGCTGCAGGCTCTGTAGATCTCTGAAGCCTAAACCTGACCCTCAGAGCATCTTGTCACAGGATTGAGGTCCCCATCCCCATGGGTGGTCCAGATGAGAAAGATGTAGGAGCAGCAATACTGGGGTCCTGCTGGGATCACCTTGACATTCCTTTTCCAGCCCCAGTGTTCCTGGAGCTATAGGCTCTTTGACTCTTTCAACCTTATCCCTAAACTATGTGGCATTCAAAACTTTTTTTAAGTGGCAGAACTTTTATTTAAATATATGGGCACACAAATCACTAATATAAAAACTGAAGTATTTAGGAGGGAAAAAGGGAGTTGAATATTTAATTCAGTAAGATGAAGGCCCAGAAAACTGCAGGAATTTAGATCAAAGGGGGACAATTCAGGGTGAAATAGAAGCAGTGTGAATGATGTACCTTTTCTTAGCCATCGGGTTGAAGTCTCTACTAGAAGAGACATCATATTTAACATATTTAATTAATAAGGCCTGTGGAGTAGTACAGGGCCTCAGAGCTGTTCTAAAGGAGGTAGATCAGTGCAGACACTTGCTGGCAGCCCCCAGTCCCAGCCAGGTGTTTCACCACATCAGACCTCCTGTCCTGCAGACTCACCTGCCTGACATCTGACTCTGCTTTATTTTAGGCTGATATTTCCCTACTGAGCCGTCACGTTTTGCATAGCAGTGAAACAGCAAGGGGTACCACACAACCTGTTTGTCTGATGCTCCCTTTTTGGGGACAATGGGCTTCACTGGACCATAAAGCAGAAGAGACATGCAAAGGCCCCTGCAGCATGCAGAGCTCTTCAGCCCTGTGTCTGACGAGGCACTTTTGGGTGAAGTGAGCCCTGGGGAGCTGATGCTGTGAAACCAGACACTCTGCCTGAGATGTGCCAGCACAAGCAAAGGTGGGGCTCAGGAAACAACAGTCTCTTCACCAAAGGTGTGTCCTTAGCAACAAGGATCACAGTCAACATAGCAAAAACTTCAGCAATTACAGCCCACTGTAATTCCAAGCCTCTGTCATGGCCAGGGACACCTTCCTCTAGACCAGCTTGCTAAAAAACAGCCTGACTTTGAACTCTTCCAGGGATGGGGCACCCACAACCTCTCTGGGCAACCTCTTCAGTGCCTCACTACCCTACAGTAAAGAATTTCTTCCTAACAGCTAATCTAAACCTAGCCAATTTCAGTTTAAAGTCATTCCCCATTCTGCTATCTGGACTTACCCTTGTCAAAAGTGCCTCTCCAGCTCTCCTGTAGCTCCCTTCAGGTACTGGAATGCTGCTCTAAGGTTTCCCAGGAACCTTCTCTTCTCCAGGCTGAGCAGCCCCAACTCTCTCAGCCTCTCCATAGGAGAGGTGCTCAAGCCCTCTGAGCATCTTCATCACCCTCCTCTGGACTTGCTCCAGCACATCCAAATCTTTCTTATATTGCAGGGCCCCAGAAGTGGACACTATAGTCTGAAACGGGTTTCACATTACTTATCTATGATGAACTCCTATAAATGGTGTTCATCAGCATTCAGACTCTTACAATGTCTATTCATTTAGTCTCAATTGCAATATATAAAAATCCAAGCCTGGCTAACAATTTTTTTAATAATTTACAAATAGAGATACCAACTTATTTAGCTGACAACAACACACTGGAAGTGGGTCATCCCATTAGCTGAAGAGACACAAGTATTCTAGGGGGAAAAAAA